CACGATAGGAACGGGACTCCAAATATCTCCAACCAAAAACCACGTCTCCCCCAACGCTGGATCACGACCGCTGCCGAACATTCGATGCCAAAGAAACACTCACCTGAACCCCCGACATTCCTGAAAATGCATCACCCTATTTCAAACCGACCTCTCCCTGGAGAAGTTCTACAAAGGGTCATCTGTCACCTCTCCAAACACCTGACCCTCCCTCGCTTCCGTGAGCCAATATACTCAGCGAAGGTCACGCTCCCGAGATGGCTCGGCTACCTGCTCCCAGTGGCTTTCTCTCCTCGTGCATCCTTCTAACTCCAGCTCACAGAGCTCACAACACTTCACCATTTTCCTTTTCCTGCAAATTAGCTTATTTTAGTAACACATTTTAATTCATAAAGGGTTTGTTACTCAATAGCTACTAATTAAAAAAAAAACCTTTATCAGAAAAAAATTCAAATGTAATGTATAGCATTCAAGCTTCATGCATTAACTCTGTCTCTATGTGCTCTCTATGTGCTATGAAAAATGACAATTGCCCCAAATGTCACCTATTATATCGTGCTGATTTTAAGACTGTTATTGACGGGTGTGTTGAACTTTTTGTTATTTGTGTTTGTGCACAATTATATATATTTTTATAACATAGATTCCCTCCGTGTTTCTTGAACGTCTCCATAGCTACTTGTGTGTCTCTGGCACACTTAGCCCCTCGGTCTGCTTTATTAAAGCTCTTCTATATGTCAATACATCTTCCACAGTGTGCCGCAGCTTCACTGAATTCCATAGATAAGTACAGATAAGTGTAGTGACATTGAATGAGTCACTGTAGCGCGTGCCGCTGGGAGATTGGTAGACAATGGAATTAGGGGTTGTAGCCTGTTCTACCAGTTGGACCTGTGGGCAAGGCACGGAGCCTTCTGGGGGATCAAGAAGGGTGCAGGGCCGAGGGCAGAGCCTGGCCATGCTGGGCAGGATAAAAGGCGAGCTCTGACTCACAGTCAGGGCTGCTGCAATCTGGAGTGGAACTCGTCGTGCCGTCGTCATTGTGACCTTTGCCCTCTTCATTGTGATCTTTGCCCTCTTCAAGCTGTGGGTCTGGCAGCGTGTTGGCTGTCCCGACCCGGTATGTAGTTATCCCCTAGGGCTGTGAAGGCCGGAATAAAAGAAAGAGAGAGAGAGTACCTCCTACTAGTGTCTGTGAATTAGTACACTACATTTGGTGTCAGGAGTGTTAACGAAAATTTTCTTTTTATTGTTGTAGGGTTGCTAGGATTTTTTTTTCCTTCGAATCCTTAAGGGGGAAGTAGGCTATGTCGGAGTCCGCGAAGAGGATGGTGCTCATCGGCACGTCCTCGAGAGAAGAAGACGACGGCGAGGAGGGTTCCCAAGCAGCCCCAGCAGCTGGGACCCTGGTGGGGGGTCCCGGAGAGGCAGTCCCGGCGGGGCAACGGGAGAAGGACTACGATCCCGTGCCGCCGCCGGCTGAGGAAAGGCTGCGGGCACTCGGCACGCATATTGTGGAGCTAATCTCTGCGGTGACGGCGCTGGTGGGGCAGCTGGGTAAGGAAGAGCCGGAGAAAGTTAAATACTGAGCCAAGCAAGACGAGTTGCTGTGCCGGGACTGATGAGCTTCACTCTAAAGCGGTTGATGGAAGCACGGGAGGTGTCCCAGGGTAATTCGGCCAAACGGCAGGCTGCAAATGAAAAACTGGCTGGGCTTAAGGAATCAGGGAAATCATGGAAACCTGGGGAGAGGGTATAGCTGCATTGCCCCCAGATGCCTGTGGGCGCATCTCCTAAATTAGATAGGCCATGGCAGGGCCCGGTGGAGGTAATTGAGGTTAGGAGGCCGCAGTGTGTACGGATCCAGGTTGGTCGCAGGTGTTGGTATGTGCACCCGTCACGACTGAAACCATATTTTCCACCTTATGAGGTAATTTCATCTCCACCATCTGATGGCCGGGTGTGATGGATGTACATTTACGGAGGTTGCGCCTTTGCGAGACTCTGTTCCTCCATGGAACCACTGGTGGTGCCACCCACAGGCGGACCGGGGTGGACGGTACGACCGCCACCCGCTTCTTCCTCTCCTCCAACTTCGTCCTGGGGAGGACCGTGCCCGTTGGGCCAGCTGCACATCACCCCCGGGGTCCCTGGGGGACCCGTGCCCGGCCGTTCCAAGATGGTTTGGTTCAGAAAACCGCCCCGACTCGTCATTGGATTGGTGTTATTTTAGGAGCTGGATCGTTGCCATGCATTGCGAATGTTGCGTGGATATTGTTGTGTTCGTCGTCCCGCTACGTGAAGTATGTGGTCAGCCGGGATGGCTGTTTTTCTTTTCACGGGTGGGGGGGGGGGTGGTGGTGGTGATGTAATGACATTGAATGAGTCAACGTAGCGCGTGCCGCTGGGAGATTGGTAGACAATGGAATTAGGGGTAGCAGCAGCCTGTTCTACCAGTTAAACCTGTGGGCAAGGCACGGGAGCCTTCTGGGGGATCCAGAAGGGTGCAGGGCCGAGGGCAGAGCCTGGCCATGCTGGGCAGGATAAAAGGCGAGCTCCGACTCTTACATTCGGGGCTGCTGCGATCTGGAGTGGAGCTCGTCGTGTCTTCGTCGTTGTGATCTTCGCCCTCTTCAAGCTGTGGGTCTGGCAGCGTGTTGGCTGTCCCGACCCAGTTATATAGTTATCCCCTAGGGCTGTGAAGGCCGCAATAAAAGCGAGAGAGAGAGAGAGTACCTCCTAGTCGTGTCTGTGAATTGGTACACTACATAAGTACCATAAGCAGCTTTAGAATTGCTCTTGCAAATACACATGCCATCTCCTCCTCCTGGGTGCAGCTTAATTAGCACCGTGATAAGTGTTTAGGTCAGAGGTTACTCTGTTGGTTTATTTTTAATAGTCTATGTACTTGTGCAGAAGAGAACTACACAATTTCAGGAGCTGCCTTTTTCTCCGAATATCTGCAAGTCTCCACGAAGGGACTATATATGTGTATATTTACACACATATAATAGGCATTGCAGGGTTCAAAGTAGCTAGCCCGTGATAGAAAAAGACAAACTGTGCTGCAAAGAGACAAATAGAGAGAAGAAATTATGTAAAAACTTAGAATTATTTTTATTTAGGTTTATATAGCACAAACTAACTGTGCTGCCGCGATATTTTGAGCAGTTAATCACGTGTGCATGCTTTAGACGTGGATATTATTTTTTAATAATGCAAAAGACATTGACGAGAGACCAAAGTGGAACATATGCTCCATTTGGGTTTCAGGAAAAAAAATGGCGAGACTCCTATGATCCACATTTTTTTTCTTTCTTATGAACAATGGAGTCCCCAGGTCATGTCCTGCCCTCCTCCTATAAGTAACATTTGCACTGCAAATTAACGGAGCCGCATATCCCAAAACTAAAATCCACGAAAGAATACACATGATCTGGCGCAATTTATTCATTTATTTTGCATGTCACCACAGATTGCAGGATCTGCAGGGTAGGCCCCCACAACCCACCGCAGGTTAACGGCGTTCACTGTATTTACCCCAGCGACCTTCCTGGCTGACCCCAGACTCCAGCTTGCTCGCGTTCAGGTTCAAGAGCTTTTAGCGTAGTTGTAGCAAAACAATCTAGGTCAGCGGGTGGCCTATTTTAGACTAATTAAAAGCGACAGATTTAAACACCTAGAGGAACAAAATGAAAAAAAATGGATGTCACCAATTTAAAGAATATATTAACTAACATAGTGATAGACGTTGCATTGAAAGTAGGTTAGAAAGAAAATAGTGAACAAATCGTCTGAAACCACAAAGGACATGTTCAGACTGAGACTATTCAGCTGGCGAGGCCCCGTTGAGCTGAGCAGCTCTTTAACAGCGAGGACGACGACAGCCCGGCACCTTTTGGCAGTGGCAGCAGTTGCATGAAGAGGAGCGTTATACAAATTTAGATGCTCACCAAAACACCGAGGACAAATAATTTTGCAAAATTATCAGGAAAGTAACGGAATCAGAAATCAGAGACTACAAAACAGAGGTGATTGGAAATGTCAAGCGAGCAATGGGAGCATGAAAGCAGCACACAAGAGGCTGATGATTGGGAATTCACAACTGTTAGGCCTTAGGGAGAAAGATTGAACCATAATACATAACAGCAATGGAATATTGCAATGTACAGCTCTATAACAGCCTATACCGTATTTACGCTATGGTAAATATTGTCTTTTGGTTATTTTTTAAAATTTAAATCCCATTGGGATTTTTGCACAAAGCCTTGTTATACGGTGTGTTTTTTTTCTGGAAGATTTTGCTGGTTTTTCCTGGATGTTTCTGTTGCGTGTCGCCATTTTAAGATATTCTGCGTTCATGTATTTGTTGCGGTTGCACCCGAGTCAAGAGCCACATGGCTCACAGGGCTATACCTAATAAATAAACTTAACTATCATATGTGGATTGGTTGTCTCACAAAGACCATTGTGAACAGAATAACAAATAATTTCGGGACTAACCAAACGCATGAAGAAGCGGGTTTTGGAAAGGTTTGTCCACCAATTACCACATGCATAACCATCACTCCGATTCTAGAAGAGACAACACAGTGACAGCCAAGGGAGGGAAAGCACCCAAGACACGTCCACCGTGGAGATGGAGCGATGAAATCAGCTAGAGCGCAGATTCTTGGTGGATTTTTACATCACAGAACCAATTGGGATGGAAACAGCGTGGGGAGACCCTCACCGAGCTGATGATGATATCCAAAGGGTTTTGTTATTGAATTAAATTTCTAAAGCACATACTACTTTCAGTATTATGCAACTGCATACTATTTGGTTAATGACATAGCAGACACCTACGATTGGCACAGTTGGCTACGTACGGTGTGAAAGAAAGTCTACATACATACACGCATTTTAGTAGTCATAGGAATTGCAACGTGCTGTGTGAACGACGGCGTGAATTATGCACCGATGTCCCTCTTTTCAGTGGAGCTGAAAGAGACGCTTACCGCTCAGTGAGAAGTCGACACTAGAGGCTCCGAAGATAATGCTCTCCTTGGAGAAGACGGCCACCTCCCGGTCCGCACGCAGGTCATAGAGCCGGCACTGCCCGCACAGAGCACAGTGACAAGACAATTCATGCACCGCATGCCCCTTCACCGCACCACTGGCACAATCATTAATCAAGTCAAGTGCACCCAGGTCCAAGCCCATTGAGACAAGGCTCTCGCAAGAGAAGATCAAATAATTTACATCACACATACAGTGAGGGGAAAAAGTATTTGATCCCCTGCTGATTTTGTACGTTTGCCCACTGACAAAGAAATGATCAGTCTATCATTTAATGGTAGGTTTATTTGAACAGTGAGAGACAGAATAACAACAACAAAATCCAGAAAAACGCATGTCAAAATTTTTATAAATTGATTTGCATTAAAATGAGGGAAATAAGTATTTGACCCCTCTGCAAAAGATGACTTAGTACTTGGTGGCAAAACCCTTGTTGGCAATCACAGAGGTCAGACGTTTCTCGTAGTTGGCCACCAGGTTTGCACACATCTCAGGAGGGATTTTGTCCCACTCCTCTTTGCAGATCTTCTCCAAGTCATTAAGGTTTCGAGGTTGACGTTTGGCAACTCGAACCTTCAGCTCCCTCCACAGATTTTCTATGCATTAAGGTCTGGAGACTGGCTAGGCCACTCCAGGACCTTAATGTGCTTCTTCTTGAGCCACTCCTTTGTTGCCTTGGCTGTGTGTTTTGGGTCATTGTCATGCTGGAATACCCATCCACGACCCATTTTTCAATGCCGTGGCTGAAGGAAGGAGGTTCTCACCCAATATTTGACGGTACATGGCCCCGTCCATCGTCCCTTTGATGCGGTGAAGTTGTCCTGTCCCCTTAGCAGAAAAACACCCCCAAAGCATAATGTTTTCACCTCCATGTTTGACGGTGGGGATGGTGTTCTTGGGATCATAGGCAGCATTCCTCCTCCTCCAAACACGGCGAGTTGAGTTGATGCCAAAGAGCTCCATTTTGGTCTCATCTGACCACAACACTTTCACCCAGTTGTCCTCTGAATCATTCAGTTGTTCATTGGCAAACTTCAGACGGGCATGTATATGTGCTTTCTTGAGCAGGGGGACCTTGTGGGCGCTGCAGGATTTCAGTCCTTCATGGCGTAGTGTGTTACCAATTGTTTTCTTGGTGACTATGGTCCCAGCTGGCTTGAGATCATTGATAAGATCCTCCCATGTAGTTCTGAGCTGATTCCTCACCGTTCTCATGATCATTGCAACTCCACGAGGTGAGATCTTGCATGGAGCCCCAGGCCGAGGGAGATTGACAGTTCTTTTGTGTTTCTTCCATTTGCGAATAATCGCACCAACTGTTGTCACCTTCTCACCAAGCTGCTTGACAATGGTCTTGTAGCCCATTCCAGCCTTGTTTAGGTCTACAATCTTGTCCCTCACATCCTTGGAGAGCTCTTTGGTCTTGGCTATGGTGGAGAGTTTGGAATCTGATTGATTGATTGATTGCTTCTGTGGACAAGTGTCTTTTATACAGGTAACAAGCTGAGATTAGGAGCACTCCCTTTAAGAGTGCTCCTAATCTCAGCTCGTTACCTGTATAAAATACACCTGGGAGCCAGACATCTTTCTGATTTGAGAGGGGGTCAAATACTTATTTCTCTCATTAAAATGCAAATCAATTTATAACATTTTTGACATGCGTTTTTCTGGATTTTTTTGTTGTTATTCTGTCTCTCACTGTTCAAATAAACCTACCATTAAATTATAGACTGATCATTTCTTTGTCAGTGGGCAAACGTACAAAATCAGCAGGGGATCAAATACTTTTTTCCCTCACTATCTGCCGTACGATAGTTTCGTTCGGGTAGGATGTTCTTACATTTGCGCATTTCTTGAACTTTTAATTGTAGAAGTTGTGTTGTGTGTGGATTTGATCAACCATTTCGAGTCTTAATTGTGTTCACGCTTACGGTGACTTTCAGACCGCATACCATTCTCTTCCTCTCCCCCCTCCTCTTTTCCAAACATAGATGGACTCGCCATCTGAATAACTGCCAAAATCGCTGTCCATGGTGGTAACGTTGAGAGAAAACCGCCACTTTTTTTCTAATTTTCTTGCTGTTTTTCACACCTGATAATGATTGCTTGTGTTGCAGTCGAAACGTCGTGAGCATTTTACTGTTTTATATTTTAATTATTGTATTGTTTCCCTTCTACACGACTTTACCGAAAGAACCAAGAATAAGGTGTGTATAGTTTGCAAATGTAGGTGAATTGGAACCATACATTTGTAACGCAACTGTCTATTTTTGAGAATGATGTTGCAGTGCCTTTGATGTCCAATAAAAGGCATGTAGCTCGAGACTTTGATATCGACCTATGCCAACACTGGGATGGAAGCGGATTTAGATTTCCTGAATATGTTCAATATATGACCCGAAGGTTCAGTCCACTAATTGACCACGCATAGTTGAACCAGGCAATGTAATCACATTTACAATGCGTCTCACGAACATAGCAAGTGTTGTGATGAACATTTCAAGCAACGTATTCTTCATTGTTAAAATCCCTCCCCGTAAATGTCGCTATTAAAAGCAGCACCTGTGAATGTTGGAGCGGGGCTTTTAAAGAGTACTGAGCCTGACTCGTTTTCATCATTTAACGTAACATACATCTTTACGTATTTGCAAGGCACCGCAATATGGTCAATTCTCTTGAAGTTAACAAGACTTTTATGGATTTAACCCGGCAAATAACACCGCCATCCAAATGCAGTGCACAGGCCTAAACTAATAGACATATACAATAGAGTAGAACGCCTCTCATCCGTGCTCCTATTACTTGCACTCCTTTTATACAGGGCACCCACCGATCTGGGAAAACTCCTCTGATTCACACGTCCATGCCCCACATTTACACATTGTGAGTGTTGTCACGTAAACAGAACGTGCCAGCCCTTTCCCCCGCCCACTCGCTCTGGAGCCCTTATAAAGCAGCTGCATCTGGAAGCTTGCCCCCTCTCTTTTCTCTCCACCTGAAGATCGCTTGTGTTGCGATCGAAACGTCGTGGGTTTTTTGTTTTCAATTTAGATTTTTGTTTTCTATCTACGTGACTTTACCGAAATGACCAAGAATAAGAACGTGGCCAATTCGTCACTAGTACAGCACACCGGTGTGCTGGAGAGCCAAGCCACAACATTTGCAATCGGAGTACGACGTTTCGCCGGTAATTACAACCAGCTTCATCAGGCGACAGCCAGATTTGTGAAGAATCCCACTTGTTCCGTTCCTTATATACGAATTGGCCACGTTCTGTGTACGTGACAACCCTGGCTAGTTGGCTGTGTCGGGTGGTGGCGGGTTTTAACGACACATTTATATATTTATGCGATCTAACCCAAAAAAAACCTCTATCATGGATGATATTGGTCGCGAAAGCCTGCCACGTGTTCAACTGAAGGACAGAACACCGCCGTAAGACGACACGCGGTCCGCATTTCCTCTCATTCGTGGGTATTCGCGGACGCGTCGAGTGGCAAATTATATCCCTTTGACCCGAAAATATCTAGGGCTGTGAGCCACCCTGAAGTGGTCTCCCACAAACGCTCCATCGCTGTTATCCACACGGATTTCACGGATTAGTAGCCACATGGTGGGGGGGAGGGGAGGTGGGGGCAAATTCACAAACAAATGCAGATAATGAAATTAATTGAAATCTGTAAAGTGTCTCTTCCTCTTCCCATCTCAAATCCCCATTGAGCACGGTTGAGGAAGTCCCACTAGAATACATCACATACGCGGCAACTGAAAAACATCCCCAAAAAAATACTCATCATTTACGATCATTCCATTTTTTTTAATTTTGTTCCAGCAGTGACGAGTACATTCCCTTTGAAGTGTTCTTCTCTTGTTTGTTGCGTATATTGCGCACATTGTACTGTGTTTGAACATTGTATTTGCTCTGCATTCACTTCCTTTAATGAGTTAATATTTATAATACTGCTTTGCTCTGGCGCCTTGGGATCTACTGCATAGGAGGTGCAGTATAAATACTTATATAATCAATGCTGCTGCTGCTGATGCACATCGTTTCTGTGTGCTCAAAGAGAGGAATGAGGTCATTGTGATGCCACTCTTGCTATAACGTGGAAGACACACACGTGAATGGTCATGGGTATCTGAACCTGTCCTGGGCCTCCTATAAGTTAACTCGGCCTTAAACGAGTACGCAGTTTTGCGTGTGGATATCAGGACTGGGGAGACAAAGGCTGCTGGGTGTGGTCCTAACCACATCACCTACTCGTGTGCCGTGGATGCATTAACAGGTTTTCGCGAACAGCAATTGCCACACACGCCCGTTAATGGCTACATGGGTGACCACTGTATTGCGAGCGTGAGAGTGGGCACGTGCGTGTGAGTGTGACAACCTCATAATCATCACCCTTGGCCTCCGAAGCTGCCAAATGCTTTGGAGGCACTGGGTCAGGATGTGTTCTACCAGATGGAGTTTTCATCCATACTGTAGGACACACGAATTGCGATCCTCTTTCCTGCACTCTCAATGTTGCAACTCCCTCCATCGTCTCTTTTGCCCCAAGTTTCTATCATCATCATCGTCATCGTCGTTAGCGACGATCAATCCGCTGACGGAAGAAGAACTCTACAAGCCATCGCCATCTAGCACGGTGCTTTAACGTAACAATGCACCGAGCACCTGCCCAACAGCTGGTTTCATCGCTCTCGAGAGCATTCCCGCCCTCGGCTGCCACCTTGTTGTTATTCTATCTAACCCTTTGAGCGACGTGTTCTGGCCCAAGCCCACTCACTGTGTGTCTCTTCTCTCAACCACGTGTTCAACTTTCTCTCTCGTTGTACAGGACGAGGAAAAAAGATGCTGCAAGGTGACACTGACTGGCTGCTCTGTGCTGCTTGCAGTGTTCAGGGGCCTGCTGAAGGCGCGGCTCCGGCTGGAGCACGCCACGTACCACACACACGTGTCGGTGATGTGCAGCGCGTCTTCTTCGAACGCTGGGGAGCCGGACAAGCCCCTCTCTGTACCAGCGTGGACTGAAACCACGTGTTCACCTTCTGAAGCGCTCACTCGTCACCGTGGCGTGCGCGATGACCACCACCACCACGTGACTTTTCTTTCGTGTTGTGCGCGCTGCATTTTGCGCCACAGCGCGTGGATTTATAGTGTTTGTTATTTGTGTTGCTGGTGACTTTGTGTGTTTCGTATCGGAGTCGCCTCCAGTGCTGTTGCTGCTGGCGGCAATAAAAGTTGTTTAAAAGTCAAAGTCTCTCTCGTTGCAACTCCTAAACGTGCACCTCTCCACGCTTAAATACGCACGCAATCAGTGTCCATGTTTTGTTCACAATCCATCTTCAACAACTGCCCTAAGTATATATACATATTACAATCCAACACTTTAGAGCAATGATGAGAAACCCCATCACAACAGTAAACTGCCGACAGGATGGAAGCGATGATGTTTAATAGAAGTCAAAGGTGTGCTGACAAACAGCAGGGAGGCACAAATTCCCACCATGTCTTGCATGCATGTCATATGGTCTTCACATTGCATGTACATGGTAGATTGTACGTGGTGGAGCGTACGTGGTGGAGCAGTAGTGTAGCGGTTAGCGCGCTGCGCTATGAACCTGACGATCCGTGTTCGATTCCCGCTCACGGCCAACACCGGTGACGATTATCTGAACCGGTCCCGGGCCTCCCCCTAGGTCGACTCAGCCTCAAATGAGTACCTGGTATGGTGTGTAAACATCGCCACTGGGGAGACAAAGGCGGTCGGGCGTGGTGCTGGCCACCCACCCCCTCGTGTACCGTTCCGGCACCTTCATAGGTGCTCGCTAACAGCACTTGCCCTTACAGTCTGTTAAGGCTATACGGGGGATCTTTGTCTTTGTGGTCGAGGATAGAAAAATGTTTCCTCGACCTTGTGCTGTCCCCTCTTCGGTCTCGACGGTTTTTATAAAATTGAGTTCACAAAGATCTTCAAGTCAATTTGAATACCCTTTTTAATCGAATAACGAATGTGGCATCAATCCATTATTACGTAATTTAATTTCTCTGTAAACATTTAGTGAACAGGAGCACTCATTTTTGATCCGATATTTGGTCTCGCTCCTTTAACGAGGTCGAAAGTTACACCATCTGGTTTGCCTGCTTTTCAAACATCCACATTTGAACAAGTGAACTGGCCTTCAAAGGTTTCCATAACCAATTCAATAAATATGTTGTTGTTGTATTTTTATACACTATCACTCATACTCTCAGTATTTCCTGGCCACTTTGAACGCTAGGCCTTCAGGCCTGCATTTGGTATCTGTGGCAATTAAATAAATAAACAAAACCTAAGTTATCCTTTCAAACAGAGAAGGTAGTCTGATAGCAACTGACAGACTCTCCTGTTGGTGTTCACACCACAGCAGCGAGGAGAGAGAAGACAACCCCCTGCGCCAAGAGGACCACTTTGCGCACACGACACCTCACCAACAGCAGCTCTCCAACCCTCGTCTTTATAGTGCACTATATATTGGCAGGACTCTCGCAACGTGCGAATATAAATTCCCTTTATTCACCCGAACCAGTGGAAAAAAAAAATTCCATGATACAATCTAGATTTGAAGTTTTCGTGACTGCAGGGATCCATACTCTTTGGGTTCTTTCGGTAAAGTCACGTAAGGTATAAAATAAAAAAAATTAAATCACGACGTTCCGGGCGCGACGCAAGCGCCCGCAGTAGAGGTGGGACGCTTGTGTCGCGCCCGAAACGTCGTGATTTAATTTATTTGATTTCATACGTGACTTTACCGAAAGAACCAAAGTGGCATTGCATAATGTTTAATGGCCTCGAGATATCGATTCTTACCGTGGCGTCGTCCGAGCCCGTGGCAAACGCATCTCCACTTGGGTAATACCTGCAGGAAGAGACGCCGCCAGAATAAGGCCGCATGGCATGGCACAGCGTGCGGCATTACAATGCTGCTTGCGACCACTGCTGTTGACGATGGCGTACCGACAATGGCAACAGCAATGCCGATAGTGATGATGACCGTCATACAGTGATACGCGACAATATTTCAACCGCTTTCAACATAATAATAATCATAGGGGGTTTTTTCCCTTTGTTTTTTTTTTCTGGCAACAAAACTGAAACCTTTTTTTACGAGGAATCATGTCTGCATTCACCACAATACTTGTGGTCAAAATGCAAACAAAAAGCACACTCTGATAATATATGGGCATTGTCCTTGAAACTGATTGGTCCACACCAGAGACGGCTTTCTTTTGAGCCTCGTCTCAATTGGTGGTAGACCAGAGGACGCCAAAAGGCGTCTAGCACCAATTGAGACGAGGCTCAAAAGAAAGCTGTCTCTGGCGTGGACCAATCAGTTTCAAGGACAATGCCCATATATTATCAGAGTGTGTTTTTTGTTTGTATTTTGACCACAAGTATTGTGGTAAATGCAGACATGATTCCTTGTAAAAAAAAGGTTTCAGTTTTGTTGCCAGAAAAAAAGGGGAAAACCCCTATGATTATATTTTGGTACTGGCAAAGGAGGTCCAATGATGGAGACGCTTGCAGCATGATAAACAAAACGAGGCAAACAACTTGAGCCACGAAATGTTTGCATTCAAAAGATTATTTAAAAAAATATAAATACAGTAAAACCTTGGATTGCGAGTAACTTGGTCTGCGAGTGTTTTTCAAGACGAGCAAAATTTTTAAATAAATATTAATTTGATAAACGAGCGAGGGTCTTGCAATACGAGTAGTACGTGTACGCTTTGTACTGCCGAGCATCACGTGATCACAACTGATATACGAGTGCTTTGATATACGAGTGCTTTGGATTACAAACACGTTTCCGGAACGAATTATGCTCGCAATCCAAGGTTTTACTGTATATAAAGTTTTTCTTTTTAAATAAAAAATAAATGACTTGCTAAACACCTGGCAAGTCCGATCTTGCGAAATGTGGAACACCGAGCGAGCGAAGAACAGCGCCCTTGCCTGCCGACGCCAGAATAATTGCCAATCAACCAAGCAAGTGGGGAATGTCTCCCATCGTTCTCTTTCTGCGTGTGGTATCGTATAATGAGACGTAATTCGAACTGGTTAATGCGCCCCCCTACAGTACTCGCTCACCCTCGTAGAGAGAAGAAAAAAAACGACTCAGAGGTGAGAGGAGGAACCACAGAAAAGCAGGAACGGCAGCCATGCCTATCAAGGGGTTATCAACCAATGAATGAGTGTTCACATGTGGGGAGGAAACCGGATCACCTGGGGAAAGCCCATGTGTGCAAGGGGGAAACGCTCTATCCCACACAGATGGAACAGGTGGAGTTCACATTCATCTCCCGGTAGGCCAGGCTACGGTACCTCCTCGATGCCCGTGGCAAGGGAGATTCCCAACATTTGTGCAATCCACAAACAAGATGTCTACATGTGGCAACAAACCGGAGAACCCAGAGAAAATACTTCAATCCCATGCAGATGGGACGGGTGGTGTCCACATTTATCCTGTACTGCATTCTTTTGGAAATCCAGGGTTATGGCGCCTCCACAGGAAGGGGAGTTTCCCAACATCCATTGCGATCCACCAACCCTGTCCTCCACCGTGCTGGGTTGCAGGCGTTGCCCCGCCACCACCATCACGAGAATTATCCTGGAAGTCCTCGTGATGGAGGTAGCCACAGCCACTGGAGCTGCACTTTCCCCCCGCCTGCTAATAAACCCTTCCTATCTGTGACGGGGAAGACAGAGTGTTCTTTCTCAATATATATTTATATATACAAAAGAGACTTGCAATCATCTCTTCACGTAAGTAACAAACCAAAAAAACTATTTTAGTCCATTAGCCGGTTGGCCTCACAAACGACTGGTGGGGTCCACAAGGAAGCAGAATGTCCCCATGATAGCTGCGGTCAACCGCTGGCGCTCATCTGCACTGCTGGGCCCCCAGAGTCACGCTGCTAATTTCCACATTCTCGTGCCGGGCACCAATCTCCCTTCAGGACGTCCGTCTCGTGAAGCAGAGTTGAGGTTTTTTTTTTGTAACACATCCCAGATGGATAACGATGAATGGCGACGATACAATTAGCTTTTGATTTAAAGCTTTCGTGACTGCAGTGATTCATATTCTTGGTTCTTTCGGTAAAGTCACGTAGAAGGGAAACAATAAAATAATAAAAACATAAAACAATAAAATTCTCACAACGTTTCGACTGCAACACAAGCAATCATCATCAGGTGTGAAAACCACAGCAAGAAAAAAAAATCAAATTTGTTTTCATCCTGTGGTTTTCAAAAAAATTAAAAAAATTTATTGTTGTGGTTTTCATACCTGATGATGATGATTGCTTGTGTTGCAGTCGAAACGTCGTGAGAATTTTATTGTTTTATATTTTTTTTATTATTTGATTGTTTCCCTTCTACGTGACTTTACCGAAAGAACCAAGAATATGATACAATTAGAGTTACTTCTGCTCATGTTAATGACGCTGATGATGCTATACCTGACGACAATGCGTGTGTGTGTGTGTGTAATGTCAATGTGTGTTTGAGTGCAGGTACTGGATGCCATAGACAACTGCCCACTTGCGGCCTCGAGCAAATGCCCAATTAGACATTATACCTAAGTTCTTTGGTGAATTGATTTAACTATTTTAAAGGGAAGATTTTTCCAGCCACCTTGCACCGGGCCGGAGTCCCCGGCATCCACCGCTGTGGTGGATGTGAGCCGGCAGCGAGGGTATCATCAGCCAACTAGAGCAAGCCTTTCCCCCCGGCAGCATCGCTCACAACACGCCGCGTCATTGCAGTCTGCTGCCGCAGGGAGCTGGCCCTTCGGGGGTTGGCGGAGCCTCGAAGGTAAGACAGAGTAATCACCAACTGTAAGTGATTGGCCAAGTCTGCCATCTGCCAACCGATGAGCGATGTGGAACCCGGAGACATGGTAACGCGGTAGGGGCTAGGGGTGGTGCCCCGCACGCACAGCCGGGTGAGGCTAGCGACAGTACCGCAGGCAGCCCCGCATCACATCCTGACAAATGCATCGACCGCGGGACAGCTTTTGCAGGGTTGGAGGGACGTTTTGGTGGTCTTTATGTATAAGGCAAGCCACACTGATTGCAGCCAGGGGCGGAGCCAGGATTTCAGGCCGGGGTGACATTCAACAAATTTTAATTTCAAGAATCATTTAGAGAGTCAGGCTGTTGAACTTAGACGCCGTCGGTTGGCGGACACGCTCTGACAATGCAGTTGGCACGGAGTCCGCCAGACCGAGTGTCGTACACTTACACGCAGAATGTCACCCCTGTCACCCCCCCCCCGGCTCCGCCCCTGATTGTAGCAATGCTGGTGGGGGGCGGGGGGCATTTCCATCCTCATTGTACTGGGAAAGAGTCTGGCGAGGATTATTCAACATTGCATTGCCAGACACACGAAGACAATGGTTTTACGGACCACTAATGTTAGTCCAACAGGGGTGGTCCGGCATTTGACATCATATTCTCTGTCTGCAGGTGTCAAACAACACGAAATATGTGTAACAAAAGGTCTCAGCCTTGGTGCATTATGCATGAATACATCAGCAGATGCTGAACAACTGCATTGTAGAAATAAGCATAAACATGGGCAACAAAATAATTCGAAAAGTGAAACTTTTTCAGGAGGTCAAGGTCAGGTTAACGAGAACCCCAAGCGAGCACTACTCTGAGATCGGAGGTCACTGGGCATGTTCAGAATAGGCAGTCTCAGTGGGATCATTCTAATGAGGTCCAGATTAAACACACGCGCGTATAAAATAAATAGCTTTAGATGAATAAAAGATAAGTCCCCTTACAGAGAACAGGACAAAAAAATTATTCTGTGTTTAAATCGCCTATGGAGCAGATCCTAAAATGGGTTGTGTTTCATGATGTGTATAAGAGTGGTTTGTGTTAGTCAGGGTTGTGTTTCATGATGTGTATAAGAGTGGTTTGTATTAGTCAGGGTTGTGTTTCATGTTGTGCATATGAGTAGTTTGTGTTAGTCAGGGTTGTTTCACGATGTGTATAAGAGCGGTTTATGTTAGTCAGGGTTGTGTTTTATGTTGTCTGTTAAATTATTTTGTGTTAGTAAGGCATGAGTATTATGTTGTGTGTTAAAGTGTTTTGTGTTAGTAAGTCAAGTGAAGTTAATTTTATATTTTAGTTTAAATGCATGGTGCCTTGCTGGCACAAATCTCCCACTCAAAACGCCATCATCAACATGAAAACCCAAACTCTACATAACATGAGAAAGATTCTCAACAATGAGAAAAATATATATTTACAAACTATCTATGGTTGTTTAAAATAGGAAAACAAATGAAGCAGGTTGTGGTTCATACCCTTTGATTATTTCGTTAAAGTCACGTAGGTATAAAATCAAACAAAATAAATCACGACGTTTCGGGCGTAACCCACGCGTCCCGGACATCTGGTCGGAGAGCGTGGTCCTGCCGCTGAAACGTCGTGATTTATTTTATTTCCTACCCTACGTGACTTTACCGAAAGAACCAAATAGTATGGATCCCCGCAGTCACGAAAACTTCAAATCTAGTTTCAGGTTGTGGTTGTGAGTTCGTCGTTGCATGCAAGTGGTAACAGCAGAGCGTTGTTGAGTTGCCGTGACGGAGTCGAGTGTGCGGATTGCTTCCGGGAGGTTGTTCCAGAGGTGTGGTGCTGCAAATGAGGAAGATCTGTCCCCCCATGGTGCTGTGTGTTTTGATGTTCGCGGCTGGAGGGGTGTTTGAGTTGGGTGGCGAAGTGATCTGATGCTTCGCTCGATCTGCGCGAGGTTCCTGGTGCAAGGTGGAGCGTGATTGTGTGTTGCTTTGAATGGTAAGAGGATGGATTTGAAGTGTATTCTACATTAGATTAGGAACTGGTGTACATTTTTTTTAGAGTTTGTTTGATGTGGGATGATTTCGGAAGGTTGAAAATTAGTCGAGCGGCATTATTCTGGATGATTTGTGGGAGTTGTCGCTGTGTTTGAGGTATATTGAACAATAGTGAGTTGCAATAATATAGCCGAGAGGTTACGGATGCATGTATGAGGGATGGCCTGTTGCTAATGGAGATGTATGAAGCTATGCGTTTGATGCTGCGTAGAGAATAGTGTGTGGTTTTTGTGATTTGAGATTATGTGTTCTGAGAAATGTACCCTTATGTTTGATGTGATGCCCAAGCTATTTACAGTGTTGGTTGGTTACATCAGCAAGAGGTCTACTGTAATTGAGACGCTTACAAGGTCTGTTTGTTGTTTAGTATTCTGAGGAGTTCTGTTTTTGTTTGTATGTTTAGTTCTAACATGTTGTTCGATAGTGTATAGCGCTTTGGTAATTTTTAGGTTGTGTTTCACGTTGTGTATTAGAGTGTTATGTCGTCAGAGCGTGGTGCTGACGTACCTAGCACACATTAAATATTTATCTTGCACAGTATGCATGTTGCGGCCTACACCCTTACTCCCACTGATTGAGAATCGCTGAATTAAGATAACTGAGAATACGAATCTATAACAAGTGCCAACATTTTTGGCGATTTAAGCCAATCAGGAAATGGCAAATCTCACATTGGGAAGATGATAAATGACTGATACCAAAAGGCCATAGGAGAAGCAGAACAACGTAACATTCTTCAGAGGAACAGTTTAAGAGAATACATAATAATTATAAACACCAGCGGATGCGAATTATTTATTTATTTAATGTTGACATCTATTGCTAGGTGGAAATAATGGAAATTTAAGAAAATGAAACTGATGGTCACGTGATAAACAAAAATTGTTCACCCAAGAAGCATTTCCTGCCAATTCTGGACAATTGCATTCATACAATCGCTCAGGCCATGGCCTTGACATTCATCGACTCACAAATGTCGCGAATCAGAGTTATGGAGTAAAACTCACGTAGAAAACATTTCACAATTTGCAACATTGTGGCTCAATCGGCTCCCATTCCAACAAACGGACGTTCCATCAACGTACTGCGCAGGCCCAGATGTGTTTTACATTTCGGCCCGGACTGCCAATGTATTCAGCACACCCGCACAAGATAAATTGATGCATTTTTCTTCCTGCAAATAAATGAAATTTGTGTACTTAACTAAAATAAAATAAATTCCCACCCGCAAAGAGCATCTCCTGAAACTGGACCTGCGGCAGCGCTGACAGCATTCCCTTATTATTAGTGAGGGGTACATCCCAGAGATTCTCTTGAAGAGCAAATTTGACGGATAACGATATTGGCCTTTGAAGACCCATCATTTTAATTATTTGCCTGAAATAAATAAGTTAATAGGCTATTAAAAAAAACCGTGACAAATATCATCATTTGATCTGACCACTTCATCGCATCACATCACCGCGTCACTTTATTTCTCGATGCAGCCGCGTAGAGTTCCAGATGCGATTTGCGGATGGCTCAAAAATCGCGGACAGCACGCTCGTGAGTAACGAGGTGATACCGTATGTCACGGTGCTCAACGTGGGTGGAAGGGGGGGGGCGCGTAGGTTTCCCCGTGCAGCACGCAGCTCTGACCTTACGCTGTTGATGTCAGACTCGTGCGTTTCAAAGCACTGCACGCACTGGCCTGTGCGCATGTCCCACACCATTGCCTTCTTGTCACAGCCCTGTGAAGCACAGTGCCAGGTCATACGGGGCAACCAAGGACACAGATCCACCGGTGCAAATTTGGAGTCGCACAAAACTCTGCTGCACAGATAATGAAACATATTACCCGGTTATATGCAGTATACAGGTAGTCCCCGACTTACGGTATTTCGATCTTACGATGGCGACAGCGATATGACAAAGTTGTAAAATGTTTTACATTCGCGCGGCAGGCAAACGCAGCAGCGTACTGCGAGGTACGATGCTGTAACTTAATCATCGTCATCCTCCTCTTCCGACAACTAAGTTCATGTAGCCATCAACAACCTAACATCGTTCAAGTATGCAGACGATAGACAGAATCTTGATGAGTACAGTACAATATGATACGTTACGATACCTTCAATGCATGTTATGATACGTAGCTTTAGCGATTTCATTTTATGGTTGCCACGATACGATACATACGTTCAATGCATGTTAAAAGTTTTTTTTATAGCAGATAGGATTGTTTCCTAAAAAAACTTTCTATGAAATTGCAGTTCATATAGTTAGGCTAAGAATTTACCTTGTTTTTTTACTTTACATTTTACTGTGCAATACAGTATTGTAATTAATAAATACATACAGTATATAGTTTATACAGTACAGCACTGTAAATTGCTCTGTTTTGCTAAATTATCAACATTTTTTTAAGACTCCTGGGTAGGCTAGGCCATTTTCGACTTACGATATTTTTTTACTTACGATAGGGTCGTCGTAACGCATCTCCATCGTAAGTCGGGACTACCTGTATTGGTTATTGGCTCTTCCACATGGGGGATGAAGGGTAAGAAAGCCAATGACCCTTCTTTATATCTAAGTACTATGAAGAAGGACCATTGTGTTCATTTGCGTCTCTCTTCGAAATATAATCTCTGTCCTGTTTTTTTCTACTTCTGAAAAGCTCTTCTATTTGTCTTTGGTCTCCTGAATACATCTCATCAAGATACATATTGTCATCTTACAACTGTACTTCCCGTCTGTATATCTATTTATTGCCTACCGATCTGCTGTCATCTCTCTAGGCGTTTATACATTGGAGAGGATGGGGGAAAAAACCACTGATTTTGTTTAGGGCTCACACCACTGTCATTCACAATGCATCCATCCTATAGCATAACACTTTGTCATGAGCATCACCATCTTCGGCCGCGATCAAGCCACTGCTCGATAAAGTCCCGCTTAAGCTGTCATCATCGATCATGGTTTGTGATGTAACAGCACCTGCACATGGTGCATGTCCCCTAGGGAGTGTTCCCTCCCTTGGCTGCCATTCTGTCATTCGTCTCGACCACCACGTTTAAGCATGCACGTCCTCCATAGAACCCAGTAAACGTGCAACGTTGGCCACTGTTGGCCCAATAACGTCCCACGTTTACTGGGAAGTCGCTGGCTGTGTGGGTGTCGTGAGAACGCTGCCGGATTACCCCAGACACGAATGTATTTCCAGTCTCAGATGGAGCCAGGTCGAGGCACAGGACATCAGCTCCATGCCCATGGAAGCTCTGCAGGAGCTGGCCACTCTCCACATCCCACAGTGCGCAAGTGCCATCTCCACTCGACGTCAGAATCTAATGCATCCACACGGAGAAGAAGCGTCGCAAGAGAGCCCCACAACGTCCACGGCAGAGCCACAACATTGAGACGCAACCTCGCAGCTGCGACACAGGTTTGCAGTTGCGACACAGGTTTGTAGTTGTGACACAGCCTCTTTTATTTACGATCAGATGAAACAAGAAGATGCTCGGTGTAGTCGGCACTTTGCTTCGTTCATCATTTAGTTTTTTTTCAATTCTTTGCTTTATGTTAACCCCCCCCCCCCCCCTTTTAAAATGAAAGATGTCTCGCTCTGCTCTCCTTACCCCTTCCCTCTCTCTCTACCCCCTCTCTCTTACCCCCCTCTCTCCCTACCCCCCTCTCTCCCTACTCCATGTCTATGTTCCCCCTATGTTTTCTATGTAATGTTATTAATATATAAAGCCTCAGCCAGGATACAGCCCAGTGGCGAGTGCACTCAGGGGGTACAACAATGATGCTCGCATTGACATTAATAAATGGAGAGTAGCAACGGGGGGAAGAAAAAAAAGCACACGTTGTTGTTGTTGCTGCAATGTGAATCTCGTCATTTGAACTTGAGCAACATTTTGAGCTCTACCCAGGCAAAAGCAGCCTCGAACATAACGATCAATTAACTTTTTTTTTACAAAGACATTATCCGCGGCTCTCTTTTTGCCAGACTCCCCACCACTGAGTGGTTGTGGCGGCACTCAGCGACCACGCAGAGCGCCGCCACTAACCGACAGCACTTCCGCTCCCGCGCCACGTGGCATCGCTTCCGTAACCGCACAAACCTGCCGGAACTGCCCAACCGCTCATACCAAGGCATGTTGTGGCGTGATCCCTACTGTATAGCCCTACTGTGGCTTCTTCGCTAGTCCCACTCGCTATGAAGCGTTCTCCCCTTTGCAAAGCAGCAGTTAGATAAGGGGCCGTCCATAAATGGCGTCACGCACCTAGGGGGCGGGGGCGGGGTCAGACATTTGTGACGATCTGTGACGAGGCGGGGGAGGGGGGGTTTGAGAAATGTGACGTCACATCAAAATGCGCAACTTTAAATATAGACGACACGTTCTACTTAATTAAATAGACTTTTTCATAAATGTTTTCTCCTACAACATCAGAGTGCAGCGCCACATTAAACACGTACTGCAATGACAATAGTTTAAAGCGATTTGAAGCATTTTTTTTGGGGGGGGGGCAGAGCTTTGTGACGTCATATTTGAGGGGGGGGGGTCTGACTTTTTGTGACGCCGTGTGACTAGGGGGGGGCTCAAAAATCGTCCAAAATCGCGTGACGTCATTTACGGACGGCCCCTAATGCATTCCTTTTGTGGAGAACCCCGACGACGTGGATTAGAGTTTCCACTAATAATATTTTTCACAAACTACCAATTCATGAATTTGACCCCTAATCTCAGCGTCACCAAACCACGAAAGTGGCTGAGCTTCGACTGGAGTCTGGCTGGAGCGTGTTCTGACTCACGGTTGTGCCCTTAGCGGCATAAATGTCCCCCGTGTCTCGGTTCTCTCGAGCATCGTGAACTCTTTCGTCTACTGTGAGTGATCTGTACCGAGTGTCGCAAATCTACGCATCAAGTGGCGGTACCTTGAGTGTGGTGTCCCAAGCGTATTCATTATCTGGGAGTCACAAACATCTCAAGCGTATCGAGTGCATCCCAAGTGTCATACATTTATCTTCTATTCCACCTTAAATTGTTTTAGCAATATTAATGTAGAGTGACCGACGTTACAACAGAGCATCTTTTAGTGTTTTGAGTGCCTTGAGGCGGTTATGCGACCTTGAATGTCTGGTGCTGTGATGGTTACCTTGAGGAGGGTCGTGTCTTCATTGTCTCCAGTGTCTTGAGTTTTCTAAAGGTCGTGTCATAACTCACCTGTTCGAGTTTGTACCTCCAATGCAGCTGCTGTATCACTCGTGTGTGTTTTTAAGGCTTATTCCATGCTATGCCCACACTCTTACGAGCTTACGCGCGTGTTGTATATATGCTGTCATCAGTTTGAGCACTGCCTTGTGAGTGTTGCGTCATCCTTTGCATGTTGAAAGTGAGTGTCATGAGTATCTCCATCCTGTTGCAGGCGATGTATCAAGTGGGATATTTATTTTCATCGTCGTCAAACATGTCATGTTTTGCTTGGCCTGAGCTAATGCTTTTTTCTAATGGCTCTCAAATGCGAGTGTTAAATACAGTCGAAAGTTGATGTGAAGCTTTCGTGACTGCGGAAATTACTCTTTGGTTCTTTCGGTAAAGTCACGTGGAAAGAAAATAAATGAAATAATAGAATACGACGTTTCGATTGCAACACAAGCAATCGTCATCAGGTAGAAAACAAACCTAGTAAACTTAGAAATCTAATGCAATACAACACAGAGAGGCGGCTAACACAACAGTCAACACCCTACCTGGTTGATTAACGTTCTTCCAAAGATTGCTAAATTTCAGAGAGAGACAAAACACTGACACGGAGACACACAGACAGACACACAAGCAGAGAGAAACAACACAGATACACAGAGAGAGACACACACACATAGACACACAGAGGGTGTTGACTGTTGTGTTAGCCGACACTCTGTGTTGTATTGCATTGTATTTCTAAGTTTACGAGGTTTGTTTTCTACCTGATGACGATTGCTTGTGTTGCAATCAAAACGTCATATTCTAGTATTTAATTTATTTTCTTTCTACGTGACTTTACCGAAAGAAACAAAGAGTAAAGTCGAAGTGTTGTGTGCCAAATGTAATGGTATGAACAATTTCAACTTGTAACCCACACAGTAGTCGATCATTCTTCAATCGAGAGAACGACTCAGAGGCGCGGGCAACCACAGACAAGTAGGAAAAGGCGACCACGTGGTGAGCCAGCACCAACAATTAGCTCTGCGGTCCTCTATATATCAAGGTGTTTACACGTGGGAACAAACCGGAGAACCCAGAGAAAATACTTCAATCCCATACAGATGGGACGAGTGGAGTCCACATTTATCCTGTACTGCATTCTTTTGGATATCCAGGGTTATGGCGCCTCCTCAGGAAGGGAGTTTCCCAACATTTATTGCGATCCATCAACCCTGTCCTCCACAGTGCTGGGTTACAGGCATTGCACCACGACCATCACGAGAATTATCCTGGAAATCCCCGTGCTGGAGGTAGCCACAGTCACTTGGGCTGCACTTGAAGCATTAGGTGGCCATGTACCAAATAATACAAAATGGCCGAGGCAATTAAATGTTATTTCTGGGACACTATTTTTTCCAGGGGTGTTACTTAACTCCGCGACTGGGGTGCCAATCATCCGAAATCAGTGCCACTCTGCGATGTCGAAACGCAGTGAGGACGATTGCGCTGAAACCCTGAACGCTCGTATGCACCAGTTGATCGTGTGGGATCTTGGTGATTGGGAATCCAGGTGTGGCACATTAGGAATGGACCACTCTATTAATAAGTCCATATGTGCTGTGCAGTACATCAATGCACGTTTGTACACCAGCATGTTATGACTGAGTTGGACCTGTAGGGGGCTGGCAGGGTTAATGATTAACTGGACTAGTACACCAGTCACGTGGTTAATGGCGACTCGGCTGAGGATTGCTGTGTGTGACACCACGTGCTGTTGCATTCTACAGATTAACCAAAATAAATGTGTCTGCCCTCAATTTGGAGCACCTGCCCAACTCTCCTTCATTTCGAGTGTGCAACACAGGCATTATCTGCTTTTCTCAGCGCTCTCGATGAGACTGCATCACGGACATTACGCGAGAGCCGAAATACTATGGTACCCCGGGGTACTGCCATAAGGTTCATGTGATCAGCTGTTACCTTCCCCCGCCTGAAAGCACCGTGACTCCTGTGAGTCTCGATTGTCGTTATAACGTCCACAAGTGAGTGCAACTGGATATGACTGCAGGCGTAGCACCTGCATGTCGGAGTTAGTGAAGCAGCAGGCAGATAGGTAGTTTGTGTGCATGGCCACGGACTTCTTCTTAGCTGCGAGGTTTTCATTCTTGTCCATGCTCAGTGGGTAAACAGAGCACTTGTTGTCAAGGCCCCTGTCCATGCAAAGATACGGAGCCACAAGAAAACACTTGTTAAAGAAGCATCAACGGCATCGCTAGATATTCAGTTTCAATGCTATTTGCATAACACTGATAAATCGCCTTCCATACAACTGACGTGTGATTTATTTATCAAACAACTGTGTTTGGACACCTGCAGTTTGCCTCCAATGCTTGACAACTTCGCCAGAAACACTGCATATGTTTGGGGAACCCAGGCCCTTCCTGCTGTACTTCACATCATCAAGGTCCGGGGTTGAATTTCCGACTCGGGCACCTTTCTGTATGGAGTATGTATGTTCTCCTCCTGGTGTGTGTGGGTTCCCTCCAGGCTCTCTGGTTTCCTCCCATAGCTAAAATAACCATATGATGTAACTGGTATTGGCCAAAAATCCAAATGTAAAAATATTACCTGCAAATTACTCAATTAGGATTGCGCACCTTGTTGAAAAAGACTTGAAAGTCAAAAGGTTTTGCCGACGTGCTTGTGGATTCTGAGGGGTAATTATCTGTGGGTTTGAGTTGGAGCCAGTTGATCTCTTATGCCATGAGGAGACCCCTCTTCCAATCCAGCTACAATAGCTATCAGTGTCAACCTGACTTAATTATCAAATAAAACAATGCCCTTAAAGACGAGGACATTTTTTGTATTAAAAGCCAAATATAACAATTCAAACTTTTGATTTAAAGTTATGCTTTTAATGATTTTAATATTCTGTAACGTCTAAATTAAAGCGTGGGCCAGGTTTGAAGATGTAAAAACTAATTTCACGACACGAGTGCAATTATTTGAAAAGTGGTAAAAAAATATACGTGATATTAGATTAACCCGAATGCATGACAATAAAAACAGCATTTAGAATCCATAAAGGTTTTTTTTTTTATTTAGATCGCATAAATGTAAATGTGTCTTTAAACCTGCTACCAGCGGACACAGCTAATTAGTACGGTTTGTCAAATAAACAAAACATGCCAATTCGTGACTACTTCAGCACACCGGTGTGTTGGAGAATAAACCCGCATCATTTAGAACTAAAACAGAGCACTTGGAAGCACTACCAGGACAGCCACATTGACAGTGAAGATCAAACATATTATCTGAACACATTCGCAATGCACTCCTGTGGACAAGCACATTACAGCAACTGTCTCAGGCACACGGCAACCATCTGATGATCACATGCCAAGACACGAGCTCTAGTTTTCCATAACATTGCAAATACACCTTCTGTGACATATTCACAGATTAAATATTTAAAATAATTTAGATCAAAGACATCATTCTGAATGCTGTCAGTGGTGGGGCTACGGTGGTTTTGGATTTGGTGGCAAAGCAGGAAGATAATATGACAGGTAAGTGATGTAGATATGCTTTGGCAAAAAAAGGTTTGCACTGGGTGGGAAGTGCGTGTGTGGAGGATGGAGGAGGGCCCGCTACCACCAAGAGAGGCATTGGAACGGTCACCGGAGTCTGATGACCAAGGAGAAGACTTGGCAGGAGATGGTGGGGGGCTGTCCTGGCAGACCATGGAGGTCGCTATGTGTCCACTGTGCTGGCGAGGTGACGGTGGTGTCAACAGCTCTGGCCACCATAACACCTTGAGCAGGACTCGTTTAACTATGAGCCGCTGCTTGCTCGTGATCCGGTGCCCACGTGACCACAAGTGGGTCGGCAGAAGAAACAAAACAAGACGAAGGTCGATGTCCGCACCACCCCCTTGCTACATTCGTCCGCAATATTTATGGCCGTTTAATCCTAACGTGAATGTGTCGCATTAACCAGGCCGTCGCTGTCCACTGGTACCCCGAATAATCAAGAGCTGCCGGTATAAAAAGCCAGAGAAAGTATCTCTGTAAGAAATGATGATCTTCTAGATTTCAGAAAATGTTGTAGCAATATAAATAATTAGCTGCACAATGGTAAAGGTATTGAACGATTATATTGTTGGCAGCACACCATAGCTGCTCTGGGATTCAGTTTAACGGGGTAATCAACTCCTCCCACGTGTGGCTGGTTATTTTTGTGCCTCATAATTGGAATATAGACTTGTGATAAGATTTTAATACAACACAGTGATGATCTATTCAGTGAACTTCTATTTACGTGAAGCTGTGAAGTCTCCAAAACGTGTCCATGTTGTGGTTGAATCTCTAATGAATACATAACTATTTCAGTCAATATTACTTCAAATTAATTACTTATTCTCCATGAAAAAAACACCACCAATCACCGCAACCCACATCCACTACTGCATATATTCACCACCAACAACCACCACAATTAAAAAAAGTAAAACAATATAGAGAGGCTGGAGATTAACATTACAGAATTTATATTCTTGGTTCTTTCGGTAAAATAACGTAGAAGAGAAACAATAAAATAATAAAAAACATATATCGTTTTACATATATTTTAATTATTTTATTGTTTCCCTTCTACGTGACTTTTCCGAAAGAACCAAGAATATGAGTCTCTGCACTCACGAAAGCTTTAAATCAAAATTACAGAATTTGTATGTGGGAGATGGGAAAGTTGTAAAATAGAAGACACATCACGGTATGCAGACTGTATCGAAATCATAAGCCTGGCCACATCGCCTCAACACTCCAATATACATCCACTGGCCCTAAATCCAAACTTGAATCAAGTTCAATATCAAAACGACCATCTTCAAGATCATCCATCGACTTGACTCTGCCTGCCTCTCTCACACCATCTCAATCTACTCCTTTCCACGCCAGCTATACTCCAGCAACCAGGGCCTTCTGTCGAAGCCCTCAGTCGACCTTCACTCAGTGATGGTTCGCTGTTTCACCTCTGCTTCTCTCATAGGCTGCCAACTTCCTGCCCTTGTTCAAATCCGTACACAAGGCTCTCTGTTTCTCTTTGCCCATGACTGGGCCCCAATTCATCTACAGTTTTGATACGTTTCAGAATTCCAAAGTTAACCTGAAAGTAGTGAAGTGTTTACATGTGGGAGGAAACTGAAGGAGCCTGAGAAAACCCACACGTGCAAGGGGGGAACACTCAATCCCGTACAGACTGGACTAGGGGAGTCCACATTTTTGCTGCACCACATTCTCTTGGAAAGCAAGGTTATGGTACCTCCTTGACGTCGGGATGAGATGATAGCACGAATGAGGGTCTTAGCAGCAGCTGGGTGTACGGAAATGTACAGCAGTATGCACTGGCTGTAGTAGTAGCTACTATCACTACAGTAGTATGTACTGTAGTGATAGTAGCTACTATCACTACAGTAGTGTGTACTGGCTGTAGTAGTAGCTATACTAACTCGATAGCAGTGTGCACTGGCTGTAGTAGTAGCTATACTAACTCGATAGCAGTGTGCACTGGCTGTAGTAGTAGCTATACCAACTCTATAGCAGTGTGCACTGGCTGTAGTAGTAGCTATACTAACTCTATAGCAGTGTGTACTGGCTGTAGTAGTAGATATACTAACTCTATAGCAGTGTGCACTGGCTGGAGAAGTAGCTAAACTAACTCTATAGCAGTGTGTACTAGCTGTAGTAGTAGCTATACTAACTCTACAGCAGTGTGTACTGGCTGTAGTAGTAGCTATACTAACTCTATAGCAGTGTGTACTGGCTGTAGTAGTAGCTATACTAACTTTATAGCAGTCTGTACTGGCTGTAGTAGTAGCTATAGTAACTCTATAGCAGTGTGTACTGGCTGTAGTAGTAGCTATACTAACTCTATAGCAGTGTGTACTGGCTGTAGTAGTAGCTCTATTAACTGTACAATAAACATATTTGGTTCTTTTGGTAAAGTCACATAGATAGAAACATATTTTTTTAAAGTGAATGAAAAGAATAATAAAATAAAATAAATAACCATTAATGTAGACTGTAGCCTGGTTTTTAATATGAGTGAGTGTACTGGCAGTCTATAATGTAGACTGTAGCCTGGTTATTAAGTTTGGTGAGTGTACTGGCAGTCTATAATGTATACTGTATCAATGGTTATTAAGAACCAATAATAATTCTACATTATAGTCTGTCAGTACGTTCACTCTGCTTAAGAACCAGGCTACAGTATACACTATAGACTGCCAGTACGCTCACTCAGTTTAATAACCATTTCTACAGTCTACATTATAGACTGCCAATACGCTCACCAAGCTTAAAAACCAGGCTAAGTCTACATTATAGACTGCAAGTACACTCACCCAGCTTAATAACGATGGCTACAGTCTACATTATAGACTGCCAATACGCTCACCAAGCTTAAAACCCAGGCTACAATCTACATTATGGACTGCCAGTACACTCACCGAGGTTAAGAACCAGGCTACAGTCTACATTACAGACTGCCAGTACACTCACTCAGCTTAATAACCATTGCTACAGTCTACATTATAGACTGTCAGTGTACTCACCAAAGTTAAGAACCAGGCTACAATCTACATTATAGACTGCCAGTACACTCACTCCGAATCAGAATCATGCAACAGTCTACATTAGTGGTTTTATTTAATATTGTTATTCAATTTTAATTAACTCTATTTTTTATTATTATTTTTCCATCTACATGACTTTACCGAACGAACCAAATAATATTAATTCCTGCAGTCACGAAAGCTTAAAGTCAAAATCTATAAATCTTGACTTAAGTCAAGCTATAAATCTTGACTTAGATTTTGACTTAAAACTTTCGTGATTTACAAATTTTGACTGAAAACCTTTGTGACTGCAGGAATTCATATTCTTTGGGTCTTTCGGTAACGTCACGTAGAACAATTCTTTTTTTTACAAAAAACTGTGACGTTTCGATCGCAACACAAGCAATCGTCATCAGGAGGAAAAAAGCACGGGCAAGCTGCGGAAGCTTTGAAATTGGTGTAGCCCAAGGGTTATAAACTAAGTGGGCGGGGCTAGTGATGTCACAGTGAGAGATTTGCATGTCAATGTGAGATCGGAGGGCGACTTCCACGGCGAGGGTACGGAGGTGGCCATTGTAATGTGAGAGATTAGCGCGTCAATGTAAGATCGCAGAGCCACCGCCACGTCGAGGACGCGAGCGACGGTGGCTGTGTCAGTGTGAGACATTTAACCCGTCAATGTAAAATCAGAGAGTCGAAAGTAACAACTAACATCGGAAGGTCGGATGGAAACATCACAGCCAGTTATGACTGACGCTGGTTAATAACGTCCTTCCAATGATTGCTCAGTTTGTACCCATCTTCTCGGTTGAAATTGCGTCTGTGTCTAGATATCTGGACGGCTTCATGAACGATTCTTTCTTTATAGCCAGTGGGTTTGCAAAGTACCTTCGTCTTGAAGAAAACAATTTCGTGTGAACCCACCGCATTAAAACAATGATCAGCCACGGCCTAGGTATTGGTCCTACCGTGTTTCAGATCTGCCTGATGTTCACGAGCACAGTCCGAGACATGTCGCTTAGTTTCCCCAATGGAACAAGATGGGCGAGGACCACGCTGCGCATGCGACGCATCGAAGGGGGGGAATCGCAATAGGCCTCGTACGCACGCAGAAATCGAGTTCATGTTCGTGGAAGTGCACATCATGTGGTGGTAGGGGGGGGAGTGTAAATGCACCCAGTCCGTCCCTCTAGTACGTTTGCTACATACAAGTACGAGAGTACGAGGTGAGGTGTGTGCGAACACGACGCACAAAGGTGGCCATCGAGGGCGCTGTCCATATACCTCTCCACTTTGTAGGGAGCGGCAGTGGAGCGGCTTGCTCGCTGCGCTACAAACCCAGCGACCCGAGTTCGATTCCCGCTCGCGGCCAACACCGTTGACGATTCATTATCTGAGCCGGTCACGGGCTTCTATGAGTACCTGTTACGGCGTGCAAACCTCGCCACCCGGGCGCGGTGCTGGCCACCAACACCCGCTCCGTGTGCCGTGTCAGCCTTCATAGGTGCTGCCCGCTAACGGCACTCGCCACAACAGCCTGCTATAACGCGTCACGTTGGCCCTAATAGGTGATTGCAAACGGCACGTTGCGTTTAAGGCAAGATGAGACCAATGTATTTGTGTGTGAGCAAGTGGGGGGTGGAGGGAGACGCAGTGCAGTGGGAAGTGCACGCACATCCACATCCACTGGCCCGACTTCGATTTCCGCTCACAAGCAATAAGTGGCGAATATTTGAACCGGATCTGGACCTCACCTAGGTCAACTGTCTGTGAAATGAGCGCCTGGTGTGGTGTGTAAACATCACGACTGGGGAGACAAATGCGACTAGGCATGGTGCTGGGTCATCAAGCCCCTCGTGTATCATTCCAGTTTTCATAGGTGCTTGCTAACAGTACTTGCCCAGACAGCCTGTTAAGGGCTCTGGGGGGGGTCTTTGTCTTTTCGAGGGAGAGGTATGTGTCAGCATATAGCTCGCATAATGTGTGTGTGTGTGATGGCAGGTGTGTGTGTGATGGCAGGTGTGTGTGTGATGGCAGGTGTGTGTGTGTGATGGCAGGTGTGTGTGTGATGGCAGGTGTGTGTGATGTCAGGTGTGTGTGTGATGGCAGGTGTGTGTGTGTGATGGCAGGTGTGTGTGTGTGATGGCAGGTGTGTGTGATGGCAGGTGTGTGTGTGTGATGCCAGGTGTGTGTGTGATGGCAGGTGTGTGTGTGATGGCAGGTGTGTGTGTGTGATGGCAGGTGTGTGTGTGTGTGTGATGGCAGGTGTGTGTGTGATGGCAGGTGTGTGTGATGCCAGGTGTGTGTGTGATGGCAGGTGTGTGTGTGTGATGGCAGGTGTGTGTGTGTGATGGCAGGTATGTGTGTGTGTGATGGCAGGTGTGTGTGTGTGTGATGGCAGGTGTGTGTGATGGGATGTCAGGTATGTGTGTGCGTGTCTGATGGAACGGCATGTGTGCGTTTGTGATGGGACGGCGTGCATGTGTGTGTGTGTATGGATTGAGTGTGCTCACCCGCAGGCAATGGCGCACCCGGACGGAGCATACGCGCACGCCATGACCCACGTGCATGGCATGGTGACAGCATGCTCCTGTGGACACCAACACACATGCACATGTAGGCATTGAACACAAACAGCACGTAGACACATTATCACGCGTGCACATACCCATACGCGTAAATCAATACGTGTGCATCATCACACCTTAGCAGAGTATACTGGCACAGGTAAACAAGAAAGCAACGTAGCTGTCGCCGTGGATACAGTTGCACAAAAGACAAAAGATCTCCCATATAGCTTTAGGGGCCGTCCATAAATGACGTCACGCGATTTTGGACGATTTTGACCCCTCCCCCTTCGTCACAAAAAGTCAGACCCCCTCCCCCCCTTAAATATGACGTCACAAAGCTCTGCCCCCCCCCCCAAATATATACAACATGCTTCAAATCGCTTTAAACTATTGTCATTGTAGTGCGTATTTAATGTGGCGCTGCATTCTGATGTTGTAGGAGAAAAAAATTATTAAAAAGTCTATTTAATTAAGTAGAACGTGTCGTCTATATTTATTTAAAGTTGCGCATTTTGATGTGACGTCACATTTCTCACCCCCCTCCCCATCGTCACACATCGTCACAAATGTCTGACCCCGCCCCCCCCCCCAGGTGCGTGACGTCATTTATGGACGGCCCCTTAACAGACTGTAGGGGCAAGTGCTGTTAGCGAGAAACTATGATACAACTGCATGCACACGTATACACACACACACCTATCATCGTCTCCACGGGGGGCATTACCTTTGGCTCTAGGGTTTGGTGTTGCATGTAATTTATGTAGTTTATTGTAAAAGATTCGGTCACAGTCCCTATGATCACTGTTACATTGCATTTATGGCTTTATTTTGGTGATTTCGAAAACGTTATTTGGTTTGGCCATGTTTTTGTTTATTGTAGTACAGAGTTAGACTGATGGCCTTAATCTTAGTTGTCTTGTGGTTGTTGTTGTTGTATAACTTGCATCCCACTGGGATTTTTTTGCACACAGCGTTGGTGTACGGTGCTTTTTTCAGGAATATTTTGCTGTTTTTTTCCCTGGATTTTTTTTGTTTTGCACAGTCACACACAGGCACTTTAAGATGTTTGTCTTGTTCGTGTTTTAGTTTTTTGTTTGTTGCGGTTGCACCCGATTCAAGAGCCGAATGGCTCACAGGGCTCTCTACCAAATTAATGGAACTATGAAACTATGACGGAGTAAATTCTGTAGCTGCCAGGCCATTGTTACTTGGGTATCATCCCTTCTCGCGGTTGATTTTTTTGTAAAAAAATAATTTCTCATGAGGCTCAATGGTGCAAATTGCAATCCAAATCCCAACCTCTCCGTGTCCTCTCTGTGTGCTTTGAAGTAGGACGCTGCCCGAAACGTCGTCTATTATTTGCATTGTCCTTTAAAGGCCACAGTGTTATTAACGAATGCGTTGATTTTTTTTTACTTTTCTTAACACTCAATATATTTCTAACGTGCCTGTTTGCTCTAATTACAAAGGTGAACTTTCCGATGGTTATTTGCACAACTTTCAGCTTTCATGCAACTTTCTCTCTCAACGTCCACGTTCCCGATCTAGCAATTTGAATCTGTTGCTTATAAATGATTAAAAACAGTTACCTCGTGACCTACAATTGTTATGTTAAATATGTTGAATTGGCCTGTAATTAGCAATGCCCTCTCTTATTCTTGGTTCTTTCGGTAAGGTCACGTAGAAGGGAAACAATAAAATAATAAAAATATAAAGCAATAAAATTCTCGCGATGTTTCTACTGCAACACAAGCAATCATCATCAGCTTTGGTGTTACATGTTATTTATGTAGTTTATTGTAAAAAAATTCGGTCACAGTCCCTATGATCACTGTTACATTGCAAATGGCTTTATTTTGGTGATTTCGAACACGTTTTTTTGGTTTGGCCATGTTTTTGTTTATTGTAGTACGGAGTTAGACTGATGGCCTTAATCTTAGTTGTCTAATCTTAATTGTCATCAGGTGATGATTGCTTGAGTTGCAGTCGAAACGTCGTGAGAATTGTATTGTTTTAAATTTTTATTATTTTATTGTTTCCCTTCTACGTGGTGACTTTACCGAAAGAACCAAGAATATGAATCCCTGCAGTCACGAAAGCTTTAAATCAAAAATGCCCTCTCTGTTTACTTTGGACTGCACCGTGGACCTCACCAGCCCATGGCAATGTGTTGCGTTTGTTCAGACACAGACTTCTCTGAAAATCGGTTTGTTCCACGTCCATTTCAGAGAAGCGTTCTTTTAAACAAAAATGTATTCCTCGTTTAACGTCTTTGCTGACGGTGCACATTCTAGAATATGCAAAACTCTCTCATTCCTCACTCCAATGTTGAGATTGTCAACCATCCTTTCATCTCTGAACCATGAACTACTTTTACAGTCAATAGTTTGCCCTATATATTTTGAATGTGTCTGTAAATAATTGTAATTCTACTATAATCAGTAAAAAAAAAATCTCCCCTAGCCGACTGACTATGCTGTAATGCATTGGGAGCTCGTTGAGTATTTGGGTGATTTTTTCGTCATGCAGTGCATTTCTTCGCTCATCCTCATCATGACTTCGTGTTGGAGCACACACTTGGGCAATCGTTGTCTTTTGAGAGCCTTAGTGTGAGCCGAACAACTCTTGAGACGGACAACTTTATTTACACCTATGCTATGAAACTCATTGCCCAATTATATATCACACCTGATGATGATTGCTTGTGTTGCAGTCGAAACGTCGTGAGAATTTTATTGTTTTATATTTTTATTATTTTATTGTTTCCCTTCTACGTGACTTTACCGAAAGAACCAAGAATATGAATCCCTGCAGTCACGAAAGCTTTAAATCAAAATTTATATAATTACTGTCAATTCTCCACACGGGCGTCGAAAAGTGGCCTCTCGCATGACAAATGCCAACCAAGTCCCAATTTATTTATTTCATGTCCGTCTCCAGCTCAACAGAGTTTGATTCTGCAGGTAGAGTCGACGGTCATTCAAGAAGGCGACCTGTTCCTAGCCTGTGATTCGGGACATCCCTCACAGCCTACCATGCTGCTGTATACTGTTGGCATTGCAACAGAGTTGCACGTTATAATAGGGTTTTCCCCTTTTTTTCTAGCAACAAAACTGAAACCTTTTTTTACGAGGATTCATGTCTGCATTAACCACAATACCTGCAGTCAAAATGCAAACAAAAAACATACCATGATAATATATGCATTGTCCTTGAAACTGATTTGTCCACACCAAGGAAGCCGCCCCAAGAAAGCCGTCCCTTGGTGTGGACCAATCAGTTTCAAGGGCAATGCATCATATTATCAGATTATGTTTTTTGTTTCCATTTTGACTGCAGGTATTGTGGTTAATGCAGATATGAATCCTCGTAAAAAAAGGTTTCAGTTTTGTTGCCAGAAAAAAGGGGAAAAACCCTATTATTACATTTTGGTACTGGCAAAGGAGGTCTAATGGTGTAGAGTTGCACGTTACTCAAGAAAGGCGCTTCAAGCGGCACTTTCAACGGAGGACACACGTGCGACCATACATCACCACGCAGGTCAGCACGAGCAGCTGGTGAGGATATCCCCTCGAAAGATGGGGGACTGAAAGGGCACCCAACCACGTGGAAGTGATCCCCAGCCCACGGTTACCGCGCAGCCAATCACACGGTTCACACAGCCGTCGTGATTACGCTAACGAAGACAAAGGCAATACAACGGTGCAATTATATTCTAATGCCCTCTTTCATTCACACTACCTCGAATCTCATTTAATATTGTATCTAAAAACAGAACTCTCAATGTTACCATCGGAGTAAAGAGAGCCAATGAGAAGCTGCAGAGAACCACGATGTCAAGTAACAAGCGGCATAACATTGGTTACAATGTTACGATACTAGCACGCGTATATCGACGAAGCACTTCAAAATGCATATTTAACAAGCACTGTGAAATGCAGAAGACAGGTTTATACTGGTAGTAACCTCCTGGTTACACCAGCCCACAGGGGATTATTGTGTCCGTCCGTCCGTCGTGCATCCAAAAATGGGAGGGGTAGGGCTGGGTGGAGAAGGGAGGGTGGGGAGGGGCTGGGTGGGGAGGGTGGGGCTGGGTGGGGAGGGAGGGGCTGGATGGGGAGGGTGGGGCTGGGTGGGGAGGGAAAGGGTGGGGAGGGGCTGGGTGGGGAGGGTGGGGAGGGGCTGGGTGGGAGGGTGGTGAGGGGCTGGGTGGGGAGGGGCTGGATGGGGAGGGTGGGGCTGGGTGGGGAGAGGCTGGTCACCCCGTGGTGCCCTTATAAAACTCAACGTTTAACCTACTCACGTCGACTTGTGCCCTCCCTCACAGTGGGGCATATTTGTGGAATACACCACGTGGTGCCGCCATTGACCCTGGCCATTGACCGAGCAACCCAACGTTCCTACCAGCTCCCTCCGCAGGAATGTGTTTATGCACACATTGTGTTGATGTGCTGCACTATCAATACTAACTTGGTAATGCAGGTGGTTCAGAGGTGGAAGTGCTGAGGTCGCACTCCTGAGACCCTGGATTCAAATCTGGGCAGGCACCCGTGATGAACCCGGTTCGCATATCTAGTGAGTTAATAGCCCTCAGCCTGGAACAGGTGAAGTCTACATTTGCTGCACAGCCTTTGCCTGTCATTCCATGGCTATGGCTCCTTCGTCGTCGCCCATGGAAAGGGAGTTTCACAACATCTTTTTAATCCACCAACCCTGTCTTCCACAGTGCTAGACTACAGGCCTGCAAGACCACCACTCAGCACTCAGCAAATAGAAAGTGAAGGAGTCGCTTTACATATACATGTACAGGTAGTCCCAGACTTACGATATTTCGATCTTACGATGGCGACAGCGATATGACAAAATTGTAAAATATTTTAATTTCGCGCGGCAGGCAAACGCAGCAGCGTACTGCGAGGTACGATACTGTAACTTTATCATCGCCATCCTCCTCTTCCGACAACTAAGTTAATGTAGCCATCAACAACCCAACATCGTTCAAGTATGCAGACGATGGACAGAATCTTGATGAGTACAGTGGAATATGATACGTTACAATACCTTCAATGCAAGTTATGATACGTAGCTTTAGCGATTCCATTTTATGGTTGCCCCGATACGATACGTTCGTTCAATGCATGTTAAAAGTTTCTATAGTAGATAGGATTGTTTCCTGAAAAAACTTTCTATGAAATTGCAGTTCATATAGTTAGGCTAAGAATTTACCTTGTTTTTTTACTTAAAATTTTACTGTGCAATACAGTATTGTAATTAATAAATACATACGGCATATAGTTTATACAGTACGGTACCGTAAATTGCTCTGTTTTGCTAAATTATCAACATTTTTTAAGGCTCCTGGGTAGGCTAGGCCATTTTCGACTTACGATATTTTCGACTTACGATGGGGGTTGTTGTAACGCATCTCTATCGTAAGTCGAGGACTACCTGTATGCCCACCATAACAACAAAAAAAAAACCCAGATTCCCGTGCCATGGTTTACATGCATGCTCCGGAGTGCCTGGGGCATATACCAGGACAGCATAGAATAAGACTCAAGAAGGATCATGAAATCAGGCTGCTTAAAACTCGCAGCAGCAATGCATTATAGCGCTCTGTAAAGTACAGTTGTGGCAGAAGTCTTGCAAGCTGACATGACAGGGCAACGACAGAGCCCAGTAGTAGCGTAGCGGCCGCTTGTTGCAGAGATTCACGAGCGTTCAAGGTCCCCTGATGTCATTCGCAAGAGTAGGCCACAGAGGGAAGGACACAACTAAAAACGCAGCATCTGTACCTAGGGCAGCTATTGAAGGTGGACAAAAATCTAAGCAATATGATAAAAAGAGGCAGGGAAACTGAACTTGATGATTGGAAGGGAACATAGCAGACCAGCCGAAATAAGAATGTTCCTAATTAGTGCGTACTACCTGCTACGACATATGGCTCGGAAACACTGTGGTTAACACGCAAAAATATAGAATGTAGAAAAGTGCGCAAGGAGGCATGGAGAAATCCATCCACGGGATTACATTGAGAAGCAGAGAGAGAGAGAGCAACACGTGGATTAGTGGACAAACGCAGGTTACTGACATCATCCAAACGATTAAGAAAAATAAGTCGTACATCATCATTAGACCTCCTTTGCCAGTACCAAAATGTAATAATAGGGTTTTTCCCCTTTTTTCAGTTTTGTTGCCAGAAAAAAAGGGGGAAAACCCTATTATATTTTGGTACTGGCAAAGGAGGTCTAATGATGTAGATGCTCGCCCCGAGCCCTCATTACTTTGATAGTGGAATTGTCTTTGAGCTGAACGCCTTCTGGCGTCATCTGGTCGAGCACCAATTGGGTCGAGGCTCGAAAGAAAGCCGTCCCTTGGTGTGGACCAATCAGTTTAAAGGACAATGCATATATTATCATAGTATGTTTTTTGTTTGCATTTTGACTGCAGGTATTGTGGTTAATGCAGACATGAATCCTTGTTAAAAGGTTTCAGTTTTGTTGCCAGAAAAAAGGGGAAAAAACCTATTATTAAAAATAAGTCGGCTCGAGCAGGACATGTCGATCGACATGATGATGGAAGATGGTCAAGAATAAAAACGGAGTGAGAGCCAAAGGATGGAACACGTACATGACGTCGGCCATAGAGGAGATGGAGTGATTAAATAAGTTAACCACAAGATAATGTGTGATTTATTTATAGATATTAATGTTACGGCAAATGATGCATGCATTTGTGTCAAGTCTACTTTGTAATGAGTCCTTGTTTTTTTCAAGCTTAAAATAATATTACAATATATGGACGCTATTTATATACAGGCATAACCCCGGTTTACGCCCAGGATGCGTTCCCGAAAACCAGAACGTAAATGGAAAGTACTTAAATAACAGGTCCCTGCAGAGTGGGCTGGTAGGAACATTGGAATTTTGCGCAATTTTATTTTTACACCCCAACAGCACGAGATTTCACTTCGTTAAAGTATTGAAAGGGGACGGACGGACGGACACATTAATCTATTGCAGGCTGGTACACTCAATTTACAACTTCGCTCCTACCAGTACAAGCAAAGATATCGGATGGCAGATCGTAACGTGGTACAGTACCTAAACAGAGGATGCTCAGTATTCCATGGCATATCGATTCATTACAACCATCATTGGTATATTAAAATATATTACCTTGCCTGTATAACCTCTTACCACGGCAGCTCTCTCTCACTTTAGCAAAAAAAAAAATTCTTGCTGTGGTTTTCCCACCTGATGATGATTGCTTGTGTTGCGATCGAAACGTCGTGATTTAATTTATTTTATTGTATACCCACGTGACCTTAACGAAAGAACCAAAGAGTATGGATCCCTGCAGTCACGAAAACTTCAAATCTAGATTGTACTATTAGTTGTTTATCACGTGAAAAACCGTTCACACGTGTCGCCATGAATACGGTATGTGGGGGGGGGGGGGAAATAATATGAATCGAGTATGTGCACACGGGAAAGAAACGACTCTAGTCAAGGGATGGTCATGCTCGAGGTGCCACCTGGCACCCGCTCGTTGCCGTGCAACATTAAACAATATGCCTCTTCGCGGTAAAGTTCGTGACTCCCGAGTACGCTGTGGTGAGGTGCACAGTACGTAGAACGGGACTGGGTATCAATACGTTTAGTACGTTACAGCGAAATTTACGTAAAGCGTGGAAGGGTGTGTCCGATGAATTATATTTTTTGTAGACAACAAACAAGATTCACGTTCTCACCTTGTTGGTGGTAAACGCATCCCACACGATCACCTTCCCATCCTGGAGGCAGAGAAACAAGCATCAACACATGCACCGCACGGGCGACAAACGCCACAAAGCGGCGCTCTTAGCGTCAGCACTCGCCCTTGCTCAGCGACGGGGCACTGCGGACTTGTCCATTTGCCAGTTGGGGTGATACGCGAAAAGGCTGTCACCAGCCCGTACTCATCGGCACGATGAAGTATGGTGAAATAATTCACGGGGTCCACACGCCGTGCCCAAGGCTTCGTCCGATAACGGTGACAACACGATAATAATAAGTAATCACGTTGCCTTAATGTGTCATTTGCACTTTTAAATAGCAATGATACATCCATTGGAAGCCTCACTGAGTTTCAAGACTTTTGAGGAGGGCCTCGTTGGATTGAGATATTTGGTCAACTCCAATAATAATGAGTGCTTAGCTTCTTTACGGGTAAAACTGGAAAACTCGGAGCAAACCCTCCACAAAGGGGGGGGGGGGGGACATTCAAAGCTTTGCACTGACAGATTTAAGAATCCATTGCTGTTTCCATCTCCTGGCTACCTCACAGCAAGGCCCAACCCTACGGCACCTCTACTATGGACGCTTGTGTTGCGCCCGAAAAGTCGTGATTTATTTTGTTTTGTTTTATACCTACGTGACTTTACCGAAAGAACCAAATAGTATTTACCTCTGCTATTACCAAGCAGTCTCCCATTCTAATTCTAACCTGGCTCAAACCTGGCAGTGCAAATAAAAAAAAAATCTATTTTTTATTGTACATCCATGTCACGGAAATGAGCCAAAACGAAGACAACGAAGAGAATTGATGGCATTCACATGAATTTCGATTTAAAGCTTTCGTGACTGCAGGGATTCATATTCTTGGTTCTTTCGGTAAAGTCACGTAGAAGGGAAATAATAAAATAGTAAAATATTATTTTAAATCGAAATTCATGTGATTGTCATCAATTCTCTTCGAAAAAATATTTTTCATTATTTTATTATTTCCCTTCTACGTGACTTTACCAAAAGAACCAAGAATTTGACATTCACATGGTGAAGCGTTTGGGTGACCGGAGTCTTTGGGCCCCCTGGTGACCAATGAACGGTTCTCACCTGGGAGGAGCTGACAAGCCTCCGCTTGTCCTTGCACCAGTCCATGCACAGAACTTTGTTGCCGTGCCCTTTGAGGGTGCGACGCGTCTTCATGACAAACTGGCCCAGCGCCTCCACTCGTTCGGCCACCTGGTGAACTGCACGCGTGTGGGCACAATGCAGGAGTGAAGAACGTGTGAACATGTGAACGATAACACAGACAGACATGGGCCAGCGCTCAACACGTCCACAATCTAAACTACAAGAAAGAACTCGCTGTATATGAGCGCACGCGTTCCGTAGTGCACGAGATCGTCGCCTTGCCAAGTTGTGCAAACATATCCTAATGCCGTACATGTGTGCACGTGTATGAAGATCAGTTGCATCAGGTGCAATTGTACAAATACAGGCAGATGCAAAGTCACAAATTACACGGGCAAGAGTATATATTAGGGACGAGTCTAGATTTAGGAGGTTTATAGAATTCAACAGATCCAAATCTGTGGGCAAAGCAGCACACGGGCAGAGCTGCTGCCATGTTCCAAAAGCGTAACACTGGGATACAGGAGAGGTCAGTGCTATGTTAAATTTACATTCCTAAAGTTCTAAAATAACAGAATCACCGGAGAGACAAATAGGGACATTTGTGGTGCTAGCCAAGGCCGTAACCATGGAGTCAACTTTGGGGGGGACCAAATCTTCCAGGGTGTCTGGGGGTCCCAACCCAGAAAAAATATCTACATTTGAAAACGAATTTCCTGCCTCAAATATTAAAAAAATTCATTAACACATGGGATGGACTTTTTTTGATTAATTCTTTACAATAATGTCTAATAGTGTATTGTATTACATTGCTCTGTTTTTACTTTTTGCCATTTCGTGTTTCATTGTATGCAATGGCAGAGATTAGGGATTAATAAAGTGCAACCGTAACCACAATCATATAAACAGAAATCTATGCATTGATTTACATGAAGACAAGTGCAGATATTGTGGCCAAGGTTTAGCAAATAGTTATTTTTTTATTTACATAGCATAGCAATTTTTTATAGCAATATATTGGGGGGGGGGGGCATTTTAAGCATATTTGAATATTGGATGTGTCCCCCCCACCCCAATATATATTATAATTACGGCCTTGGTGCAAGCCACTCCACCCACTCGGGTAGAATGCCGGACCGAAAAAGGTTTTCACTCACAGCACTTGCCCAAGCAGCCGATGTAAGCTCGAGGAGAACTCTTTTTTTTCTCAATTTTAACATCGAGGAAACCACATCACGGATCCTATTTTCCGCGGGATTATCTGATAATGTACTGCACTGCTTCGTGGAGGAAAAAAAATCACAGATAATCACCGATTATATAGGATGCGTGACAACTTATCCCACTAAAAATCATGGATGATAGGAGTTTGGATGCAAGCTAAGGGGCGTCCAATACCCACGGATAACCGGCAGGTAACCGAATGATTTCGCAGCACAACTCCAATAATTATCCGCAGAAAAACCGCCAAGGAAAGGAGTCTCTGAAGAAGAAGAACAACAACAACACGGACAGCGGTCACGAGAATGGCAGCCAACGAACGTAACGCGCGTCCACGGCGAAGATGGAGCGCTGAGATCAGCTCGAGCACAGGTGGCTGGACGGAGCGTTGCATCGCAGGATCGTGAGAGGTGGAGGTGGCTTGGTGAGGCCTTCATCCGGCAGTGGATTGACCACGGTGTTCACAGACTGCGCGATGAATCCGGAGACTCGTGTTTAGTTTACCGCTTACGGCCAACATCATTGTTGATTATCTGGACTAGTCATGGGCTTCCACCAGGTCGTTTCAGCCATAAATGAGCACCTGGTGCGGTGCCCGAACATCGCCACTAAAGGGACAACGGCGTAGTGCTGGCCAATCACCCTCTCATGTACCGTGTCGGCCTTAATGGGCACTAGCTAACAGTACTTGCTTCAGCAACCTGTGGAGGCTGTACAGGGCGTCTGCGTCTGTGTGAGTGGACAGGGGTGCGTGCGTGCCACGAACACCTACAGTTACACAACGTAACGTGCAATACATCCAGCAAAACACACCTTGCGTTTTTTTTTTTGGGGGGGGGGGGGGTTCTAGAGGTTCATGCATACCTACAGACAGATATCTGTAATACATTCGCACATACGCACAGGGTTTCAGTTTTTTTTTTCAGGAGGTTTTCATCAGGATGGCGGCAAGGCGAATTATTTCAGAAAACCGGACAAGGTCTCCCTGCTATTAGCCCGACTAGCCAAGGCGTCCCTCTACATTTACCTCTCGCAAAATCCCCGAGCAAACACTGATGCATAAAATGCACCGCAGCAATTCATTGGGATAGCAGCAAGGAGCCGAGTTTTTGGGGGAAGGGTACGTTGTCCGTTCCGTAATGTGTATTCACGAGCATACCAGGTGAGCTGGGTGAGAATACAATGACACGGTGGCGCGTATCCGCACCTCAAAGCCCCCAGACACATGGAGCCTCGGTGTCTCCCTGGATCGGATCCCACTTGTATAGAGTCAAGGGGAGACCCAACGCTCTTGAGATGCCGCAACCCAATCCAGCGCCTTCACATGAGACGATTTCATCGCTCAAATCTCCCCCGGTGAACGTCGCTTCAGAAGTGTTCGCCTCCTCTGGCTGCCACTCCGTTTGTTAGCCTCGACCACCGGCCGTGTAGGTAGTGTTGACGTCGTTCATTGTTCTGTTGTGACGCTCTGGCCGTCTTTTGGGGGGGGGGGGTGGGGGGCAGGCTTCATGAGTGAAACCAGGCACTCTGAGAGAGCGACGTATACGGCAGCACGGAGAGGGAATTGTTACTGCTGGGTGGTGGTGGCGGCGGTGGTGGTGGTGCTCGCTAACAGCACTTGCCCCTACAGTCTGTTAAGGCTATATGGGGGATCTTTGGTTGTGGCTACGCTGCACGTGGCCTGTAGCCCTGCGCCGCGAAAGGCAGCGAGGGTTGCTGGATCGCACAGATGTTGCCAAACGGATTTCGCACGGGTATCAAGGTGCCTTACTCTGGCGGTTTACGGCAGTGTGGACTCGTATCATCCGCCCCCATCTGTAACGGAGATCAAGTGTTGCCTCCTCACATGTTTGGGTTTTCTCCGGCCACTGCGGTCTCATCCCACTTGTACAAACGCTCATTCAGTGGCTGAACACATCTTAATATGAACCTTATGGCGGGACCCCGGTGTCCCGAATAAACGGGAGTCCAAATCGTAATTATATATTTTTTATATTTTTGGCGACTCCGTCCCACCGCGCACATAAAACGCCGCGACCCATCAAAAAATCAATCCCCTCGTTCTTCACCAAGCACCCGTTAATTGCCAACTTTGCCATAGCCATAAACAAAACTTTGATTGGCGCAGCGTTTGGAGCTCGTCGAGAGTAATAGATTGCCGCGTCGTTCGCTTTCGACAGACATAAAATAACGTCGCAAGGCAGTTTACGCGAGAGCCGGGGCCTTATGGGGGTCCAGCCATGAGGTTCATTTGTAGAGGGCCTGCGGAGATTGTGCAATGCGTGGACGACCGGACGCCCGCCCTGCCAGCTCGTCCGATTCTTGTTGCTCACAACGGCTGTGAGAGTGGCAATTCGCACGAACGACGGCTGCACACAAGTGGGACACACGCTTGTTGTTAGCGGTGGCGAGGCATGGGCCCACGCCGCGTGTTCGCCGCGAGTGCTTGGGCATTCGCGGAGAGCCAAGTGCCAGAAAAATCCTGAGTGAGAATGTCGCGACTAATCCCAAATCGGCGGTGTTGATTAGCGAGCCGTGTACGACTTGGCGGCGGATCCGCAAAGTCCGACACCAAAAGGGCCGAGCCAGTAATTTTGGCAGTTCGTCAAATTGGTATTTAATCCCGATAAGGAATAGCAACGGCAAAGTCACAACAGCGGCAGCAATTAAATATGAAGACACTGCCGAGGCTAGGCCAGTGGGTCAACATTTAACAATGAGTACAAGTACTAACAATCCGACGTCAGCAGTACCTGTTAACGGGCACTGCTGCGTAATATTACACAGTCCATGCAGTTTTAGAACACGCACACACTTCTACGCACATATATACGCATACAAACACTTACGCACGTATATATACACGCGCACACACACACACTACTACAGAGACACTTAAACGCTTCCACTTGTAGTTAGCACGCTGCACTACATATTAGGCAAACCCGAGTTCTATTCACGCTCACCACCAATAACAGTGGAGAATATTTGAATCGGTTCTGGGCCACTTATAGGTCGACTCGGCCTCAAATTGTTATCTGTGTGCAATCTGGGGAGACAAAGGTGGCCGAGTGTGGTGTTGGCGACCCACCACATCGTGTGCCGTGCCAGCATTCATAGGTGCTCGCCAAGAGCACTTTCCCGAATGGTCTGTTAAAGACTATACATTTACACATATACAGATACATAAATGCACATAGCAGCCCTGACGCGCTATTCGCAGGGTAAACGATTTAGCCATATGCGGTTAAATGTTTTCAATTCGAATTTAGGAGCAGTGACCTTCTAAACGTAATGGAGGCGAGCGCCTTGCCATTTGCGAGAATAACAGATCATCTAACACAAAGACGTACATGACTGAAATAAGCAATTTGCGGGATCGGGTTGTCGGTCAAATAGTACCACCCGTTTGCAGGGCTTCACCGTGGCGTCGTCACCCAATAACGCTGCCGGATAGATATTGGCGTGGGAGATTTAAGAAGCGATTCCCCATTGTTTGAATTTCCACCGCGGGAGATGGAATCCAACGGGCGAACTTTGGATTGCAAGTCGTTTTCGCAGTTAAAGCTGTTAAACATTTACGCTTGCTGCTGAACGTTCTCATATGAGTGTGCCGAACCGATAATTCGTTATTCACCGATGTTTTTTTTTTTCATTTGGTAACCTGGCGATGCAAACGGACCGAGTGAAACCAGCCTACGACTCGTAACGGTGCACGGCGCTCTGTGGACATTGTGCTCTTTCATTGTGTTCGTTCAAAGTGTATGATTTATTTGGTCAGCGGTGTAGGAGAAGTTAAACAAAGATTACGGCCACTGCGAAAGGCAACACGCGGGATTTTATGTCGTCCTTTACTTCACTTTTGTTGTCATTTGACATCACGGAATCTTCACTCTCCAGAACGACCTACAAGGACCCCCCCACACTTGGTAGAGGCGGCATTTCACAGTCGGGAATAGTTTACCGGTAGGATCAACCTATCTACAAATTTGAAACAATCTGCCTGGGGCAAAAACTACATTATACGTGACATAAACAGTGGCGTGTAATCTGTTCCCTTTTAATCTGCAATCTCCATAGTGGGTGTAAGTACTGTGTAGCATTCCTTAAGTAAAATCGTATTATTGATGTGATACTCCGTTGGCAGCGGTGCACAAGCACAAATAACAAACAAAAAACTCAACACATTCGTAAACAGCACTGCCTTATAATAATAATGACCCTTCTTCACGTTACATTAACGGCTACATTAATGGTAAAAAGGGTTCACTGAGCAACTATATACGACCACAAAACAGCGCATTCATTGCGAGCATCACACACGTAGCTTTTGCCAAAGCCTGGCGCCGTCGACACACGCACCCTCCCTGTAAATCGATTAAAGATCCACATTATAGACCCGTGTCGTTCAGTGCAGGGGGAGCCCTTTACACAAACAATAGCCTTTAATGAAATAGCAACACGCAGCGGAGCAAGCGCCCAAATCAGTCAAGGTCACGCCACCTACACCCAAGGGTGAAACGCTGGAAGGAAAGCTGTCAGACGTTAGAATTTTCTTCACTTTCAGCAAGGCAGCTGTCATTTTAGACACTCAGATTACGAAAGCCTTACACGTATACCGCACACGTGTTCTAAACAGTCTGCCAAGTGCACTCGTGCAATCAGTGCACGCACAGTCATCTCAAACACACGCCACTGGCGGTTACTTTCAATTGTCTACAACGGCGATGTGGTGAACCACAACCAACCAATCGCTGCCTGTTGGCAGCAGAATGCCCATTTAAAGTCGCGTCCTGAACACGAGCGACGCTGAGAGTGAGCAGGGCTCGTAGGCCGTGACCCGGAGGGCGCAACGGGCAACCACCCTCCCCACGGCCGGTACCATCGCCGCCGTCTCTCCTGCAGTTTGTGGTGCTGCCCGGGGCGCGACTCACGTTCCACGTCGTGCAACTTGGCCCTCTCCTCCTCCAGTTTCATCTTGAGGTTCTCCGCCTCTCCCTGCAGCCCGTCAATGGTCTCATTCTCCTGCAGCCCTTCGGAGGCCATCTTTCCGGCGCACGAGCACCCAAAAGCACGCAGAGGCCGCAACAGAGGCGCAGTGACTACACTCGGTCGACGCTAGCAGGTTAACGATGGACGGACGAAATGCGGCACTGCATCAACACGAGAGTCGCGCGCGAACGCAGCGCGCACACGGCCAGAGATGCGGACCGGCGCGGAGAGACCCTAGGGAGCGCAGCCAAAGGCAGGCGAGCGCCGCAGGTAGAACATGAATGAGCGCGTCTGCCCGTTGCCACTCTCGGTGCACGGACCGCACAGATGAACAGGCGAAGCCTTCACGAGATTTTCGGGATCGCTATTATTTCCGAGTTGTTAACCGCCTCCCGGTATCTTGCCGTTGCTGTCCTGGCGATGCGTAACCGGAGCTGGGCGAATGTGTACCCTAGCGGGCCGCCCGCATCCCTCACTCTCTACTGTAATACAGTGAGAGTGAGAGGCGCTGCAGCCGCAGCCCCTGGGCTGCGCTGCAATGCGCGACCGCGCCACGCGGCGGTCGCTGTCCGCGGTGCTGAAGGACGCGCGGTGCCCCACGGGGCGCCCGCTGTTTCCGCGGTGCTACGCTCGCTTGTGGCTACGCTCGCTTGTGGCTACGCTCGCCGAAGGCCGTGGCGCGCGGTCGCCGCTGGACTTTAAGAAGGGCGGCGCTCGCGGAACGGAGCACTTTACAAATGCTGTGGCTTCCTTCTGGATATCCGTCCGCCTATTACTGATTTACAACAACAAAAAAGATCCCCCGTCGTGTGAGTTGTGCAACTGTTTTAACCGTATGTGTTTATATCAGCAATGTATTGAGAAAGTCAAAATCCAACCATGATTCGATAGCGGAAAACGTGTACGCAACGTGCCACGATGGGGCGCAAAACGACTCTCATGTTGAGGCGTGTGTAATGATATCTTTACAGTACATTTCAAATGTTCCCACCAAACATGTCGTTTGCACCAAAACCCCAAAAAGCAATAATCCGTGCCACCCTCCGCTTTTTTTTACTTGCTAATTTAATCATACATTTACTTCATCGCTACATTACTAAATACTGTGATTTCTACGCCCAAATAATAAAAAAGTTTAATATTTAAACGAGATTTAAAAAAAAGTCATTATGAATATTGTAACGTACTGAGTCAATCTTTGCAGGTATAAGCAATATATAACATTTTCACGTCACATTATTCTCTTTCCCTTTTGTCCTCTTTAACATGTGAATTGACGATCACACTTTGGCAAAGAGCACACACGCAGGGTTTGTACAATTAACGCTTCTGTCAGTTTAGTGATTTTAAACAATGTGAAGGTGAAGGATTCAGACATACTACAGTCTGTATATTAACAGGTATAACATTAATTTAAACCAAGCAGGTTTTTGAGATGTGTTGGAGTAATTGCTGTGCTCTCTGAAGTGTGCTGCATCTTCCCTTGCTTGGGTCTCTTCTCCGAGTTCATGCGACTTGTATACGAGAGATATTTATATTTAAAACAACAAGGCAATATCACGCGAGTTCTCTCCACCAACACCTCCAAACACACTTTGTCAGATTAAACATATATAAATATTTCACAAGGCTATCAACGTAGCGCTGGCGCCACCTACACTATCTATATTTACCAAATGTTCATTTGAATACAAAATAGAATCACAGTACCCGTATCAAATAACTTCCAAACCAGTTATATTTATAAAGTCATAAAATAATTAAACACTCTATAATATATAGCCCAAAGTATCCTAAACATATATTTTTTCCCCCAAATCCTCGCTCCCAAATGTCCACTGTTTCATGAACATTCTTCATTATTTGCAAGTTAGGCGTGTACACCTTTCACGCACGTGGCGATTAATTTAAGTGGTATTTTCTAAATGAAGACTTTATGTAAACACAGCCTATAACCCACGTTCTGTGTTAAACCAGAACAACTCTATGCCCAGTGTCCAACGAACGTAATAAAAATTACTCCCCGACACCTTCACCTTTACAATGAGCCTCATTTTAACCTAAAGCACTTTATTCCGTGAGATATCTCCGTGCCTATCTGCCCCTTAACTGAGCCCAACTACCTTAGTCTCACCCAAGACTTTCAAGCCCTTCCCAATACCCACCAGCTCTGCACAGCTTGTGCACACATTCTGAGACTGTGCATTGATGAGGACACCACGGAGCGGGCGTTCCTTGAAGCACAAATCGCACTGCCCGAAGCAGACGACCAGGAACGTCTGGTCACACATCTCCGCTGTGAAAACCGAGAGATAAAGAGCATTAGCACGGTGCAACTGGGAAATACTATCATGAGAGCAAACTTTCCCTTTAGCGTGATTCCACATATTATCATTTCAACTTGGAATGCGTCGCACAGTATTCAGAGGCGCGAGGAACCACAGGCAAGCGGGAAGGCAGCCATGCGATGTTCCGGCGCTACCAACAATTGCCCGAGCTCTGTGGTCCTCATTATGTTAAGGTGTGATCGGCTGATTAATCAGTGTTTACATTTGGGAGGAAGCCAGATCACCTGGAGAAAACCCAGGCTTGTGAGGAGGAAACACTCTATCCCATACAGATGGAACAGATGGAGTCCACATGTTTGCTATACCGCTATAATCCTGGCCAGCAACAGTGCTTGGTTACAGGTGTGCACCAACACCTTCCGGCTAACACATTCCTGAGGAGGGAGCTGGTAGGAACGTTGGGTTGCTCGGTCAATGGCCATGGTCAACGGCGGCACCACGTGGTGTATTCCGCAAATATGCCCCACCCATACTCACCCCTCCCACCCAGCCCCACCCTCCCCACCCAACCCCTCCCCACCCTCCCCACCCAGCCCCTCCCTCCCCACCCAGCCCCTCCCCACCCTCCCCTCCCCACCCAGCCCCTCCCTCCCCACCCAGCCCCTCCCCACCCTCCCCTCTCCACCCAGCCCCACCCCTCCCATTTTTGGATGCACGACGGACGGACGGACACAATAATCCCCTGTGGCTGGTGTAACCAGGAGCTTCCTACCAGCATATTTAGCTTCTAAACTCAAACATGTATACACTTTACAGAGAGCGCTCGTAATGTTTCGAGAGAATGAAGGCCTTGCGTAGCTTACTCTTATTTTATACATTTATCCGTTAATATTGAATTCCAAAAGTTTTTCGGGTCATCTTAGCTCAAGATGTAGGCATCACTTCAAAGCGATACCAACTTGAAAACAAAATCAATGTATTTATGATCTCACATATACATAAGGGGTTAATGCCAAATACGTGATTTGATACCGTAATAATAATAACAACAATAATACGTTCCGCGGCGTGGTTCAACCGGAATAGCCTAGAGATCATCATTCTCGCTGCTAGGTTATTCAGTGATGCTGCTGCTGCGTTAGTCGTGGTGCACAAACACAATTAGATAAAACCTCAAGCCGCTCATCAAATAACACTGCCACTGCTGGGTTAAGATACATTTCAGCAGTCGAGCGGTATTTGCGGTAAATGTACGAAAAACGCGCCATCTGCCGTGAAATGGCATTTCAGTTAAATGCAGGAGGTGCCCGCAGTGCATTATATTCCAAATTCTGAGATGATCCTCAAAGTGTTCATCAGCATACTATAATGTCAAATGTTTCCCACCAGGTTCCCATTGCAACATAAACACGCGTGTGCTCATATGGATAAAGAGCATTATTCGTAAGAGCACCCCGAGGCTCGAGAGTAAAACCCCATTTATTCTGTTTTACTTCACATTACGTTGAGTAATGCGGGCTATCAGCTCGCTTAAAGAATGACTCAGCTTCACATGCAGGTACCGTCTCGTGCAGTGCTGCCATCTGCCTTCCGAATTGAGATGTGTTTTATTGCAAGAAACTAGCGTTAAGGATGCATAGGTTTGCTACAATTACGTGAACAGCGCTCCACGATAAAAAAAAAACTCAACACATTTGTCAATCACACTGCCTTAAAATAAATGTAAAAATGAATGCAACAGGTAATGTTACGATGCAATGTGCTGAGTGTTTTGTTGATTAAGCTTGTGCACCGCTCCCAAGGCAGCAGCATCACTAAATAAAGTGTTCAAAGATAAACGCATTGACTGCTCACTGCAGTAACACATCGCTCTCTTGTCTACTAGCTGTACTACCCGGCTTCGCCCGGGAATTGGATTGACCACACCAGGCCGCCTTTGTCTCCCCAGTGGCGATGTTCGCACAGCAGAGTAGGTACTCGTTTGATGCTGAGTCGACCTAGGGGAGGCCCAGGACCGGTAAAAATAATCGTCACCGGTGGTGTCCGTGAGCGGGAATCGAACTCGGTTCGCCGGGTTCGTAGGCGCAGCGCGCTAACCACTACACTACAATGCGTTACGCTGCCACATGCGCCGGTCACGTGACAGAATTTGACGTCGAGGGGATCCTCCTGTGGCTGGGACCGTCTCACATTGGACATGCTGATCTCTCACATTTACGTTAACGTAGAAATTCCTTCTCTAGCTCAGCCCACTGACCCTTGGGGTGAGCCCACCAAAATCCGATATGAACTCTTGTTGCAGCAGCAGCAGCTCTTTCTCCTATGTCAGCAGTCCTCCTGCTGCGTCTGTCCCACCTGATGACGGTCGCTTGTGTTGCGATCGAAACGTTGTAATCCTCCACGACCCGACAGCCAATAAAATAAAGTTGTCACGTGGGCCAATATGCCAATTGATTTTGTTTTTCAGCAAAAACATCGCATTCTAATAAGACAATTTCGAGACTTACAAAGCACAATAACACATGATAAACGTAATCTCAAACGGGATAGTGACAGTCACAAGGTGATGGAGCTTGCAATTCACACACACACACACAAGTAATAGGTTAGATCGGTCATTCAACAGTAAGGGGACGAATTTGAATTCCAAAAATTGAGAAAGTGTTGTGATAAATATTTTGAGGGAAGCAACCCGAAATAATAAAACATTAAATTTTTCTATTTATATATGACTCAACCGAGTTGACCTGTTAATGTATTCTTGTTTTTCTGCACATACATCAGTCCTTTATCGTTGCCCAATTAAAACTTAAGTATAAATACACGTGAACTGTCCATGTACAATTGTTTTGCATGACATTACCACGCTTATGCACATCCATAATCAGGTTTTCTATTCATAGTTTTAACTTTAAAAAATGTGTGAGCAAGGCTAAAAGTATACCAAAATATTGATTTTAATATGAACCCTAAAACTAACATAACTTCTGCTATCGCCAATGATGCCGCAGTTGTATTTACGAACGTAACTATCATTACGGTAATGACATGGCAGTAATGGTAATGACGGCAATGACACTTAAAGCTTTTACTCAGTCATCTAAAATGAATACTTAAATGAATAAATCACTTATAATGGCACTCCACAGATTCCAAAATACAAGCTCAAACTGCCTGTGGATTTTTTTGATGGCTTTGAGGCCTTTATTGGCAATTTTACCTCACATGACCCTGGCAATTCGCATTATTCACAGCGGCATAATAAATGTATCGTCAGAATTTTGATTGGAGAAATACGTGCATACATATTCAGATCTCAATATTTATGATTTGCTGATGGAACAGCTATTACAACGTCCAATGGAAAATGAGCTGCAGGAAACGCTAGCAACACTAAACAGAGAAGGCTGCAAAAGTTGGGCTCAGGATAAGACGTGAAGAAACTAAATGTCACGTAGAACAAATTCACGAAGCAATTTGAGATTAAAGTTTCAGTTTCATTTATTTTGGTGTAGCCCTGCGAGCCATTCGGCTCTTGAATCGGGTGCAACCGCAAAACAAACAAAAAACAAAAACATGAACAAGAAAACATCTTA